AAAATTAAGGTCAAAATTTTGACCATTGCCACATTTTTTTTTCCTTCATATTTTTTTGTTTGAAGTTGATAGTATAAACAACTTTTACCAAAAGTCCCGAGTTGGCTAAATTCATCGTTTCGGAATTAATATTTATAAAAATAATTAATTGTATAATTTTATAATTAAGTTTAAAGTTAATTTATATTATATAAATTAAATATAAACTTTATGTTTAGGATTTAGATCCGGTAGTAAGCCGGTTAATGGAACAAAGTAAAATACTGCAGGCAGAAATTAACCAACAAAAGATTGAATAAAGTTATAAATGAACAACGGCAAGAAAAAGAACAACAACAGCAGCAACAACAACTACAATTACAACAACAAAGACTGGACGTAAAGAACCTCTGACACCCAGGAAGGTTGAACTTTTATCCTACCATTTTGAAACCTTTTTAAGAAATAGAAATTACTCGCAAGAGAGGGTTTATATTGAACTTAAAAAAATAAATGTCTACTTGGGTCGGGCAATAACTTCCGCAAAAAAAAAATAGGATTTTAATTATAGGAAAAAATAGTAGGTATTATAATTATTAGCGGAAACCCGATTATGAGGCGCCGTTTGTGTCAAAATTAAAAGTGCTAAATAAACTTATTTTGTTTTATAAATAATTAATTATATGCTTTATAAAATTATTATTATTTTTGATTCGCAAAATGAAAATTATTTTATAAAAAAATAATTTTATAAAGAAATAATTTTATATAAAAAAAAATTATTTTATAAAAAAATAATTTTATAAAAAAAAATTATTTTTTAATTAATCATTCATTATTATTCAATTTTTAGTATAAGTAAGATGGAAATAAGTATTTTAATGTTTTGGGGCAAGTATCGGCCGGGCCCCCTACGAGGTCAGGGCCCCCCGCTTGGCGGGCGTTTGCGGTACTGTCGCTACGCCACTGCATCTGCCATTGTTGACATCTGTTATTTTTGACATGTTATTTTTGACATCTGTCATTTTTGACATCTGTTATTTTTGACATTTGTCATTTTTGACATCAGTCATTTTTGACATCTGTCATTTTTGACATATACCATTGTTGACATCTGTCATTTTGACATCTGCCATTGTTGACATCTGCCATTGTTGACATCTGCCATTTTTGACATCTGTCATTTTTGACATCTGTCATTTTTGACATCTGCCATTGTTGACATCTGTCATTTTTGACATCTGTCATTTTTGGCATCTGTTATTTTTGACATCTGTGATTTTTGACATCTACCGTTTTTGACATCTGTCATTTTCTCATCTGCCATTGTTGACATCTGTCATTTTTGACATCATGTAGTAATATTGTTAAATAGGTGGTGTTTTTATAAATTGATAAATTTTATCTACTCGTTAATATGTCATTTTTGTCATCTGTTATTTTTGACATCTGTCATTTTTGACATCTGCCATTTTTCACACCTGTCATTTTTGACATCTGTCATTTTTGACATCTACCGTTTTTGACATCTGTCATTTTTGACATCTGCCATTGTTGACATCTGTCATTTTGACATCATGTAGTTAGAGTAATATTGTTAAATAAGTGGTGTTTTTATAAATTGATAAATTTTATCTACTCGTTAATATGTCATTTTTGACATCTGTCATTTTTGACATCTGTCATTTTTGACATCTGCCATTGTTGACATCTGTCATTTATGACATCATGTAGTTAGAGTTATATATATATATAGTTATATTGTTAAATAAGTGGTGTTTTTATAAATTGATAAATTTTATCTACTCTTTAATTAATATTAATATCTTATTTATAATAAAATAAAAAGTTATTTCCTATTATAGTGCATTCATTTAACCTACCTTATAACCTAACATATTACCTAAAATATTAAAGAAGAAATCTTCTTTTTAATTTCCAACAAAATTCAGTTTACTGAACATCTCTCAATAATGCCGTATAATTATTTTTATCGCTATATAACTTTTTTGCTGAAAGTCTTAATAAGTCTTATTAACTCTTCCAGAAGAGTCCCAAATCTTGATATTATTCTGACTTACTAACTCTTATTCTGAATTTTTCCGACTTAATAAGTATTATTCTGAGTTTTTCAGACTTATTCAGACTTTTTAAGAGAAAGTAAGACTTTTAAAACTCTTATTTTTACTTATTAAAACTTTTTCAGAGAAAAATTTCCACAAGGGCGATCTGGCGTATATATCTTTGGTGGCCAGAGACTACTTCAAGAAGATCGCTGTTAAATATGATGTCCCGCATTTCGCCGAGTTGATGGTAATGGCGTCCAACGATATAAACGAGGAGACCATATTAAGTCTCAACGATCAAGGTCACAGTATAGACTCGTTTGGTATAGGCACACATCTGGTGACCTGTCAGAAGCAACCTGCTCTGGGTTGCGTTTACAAAATGGTGGAAATCAACCAGCACCCCAGAATAAAGCTGAGTCATGACGTCGAAAAAGTTACGATACCCGGTAAGAAGAACGCCTACAGACTGTACAGTGAGACTGGTTTCGCTTTAATCGATTTATTGCAACGTTCAGTGGAAGAACCTCCGAAAATAAACGAGAAGGTGCTTTGCAGACATCCTTTTCAAGAATCGAAGAGGGCCTTTGTCATACCCAGCCGCGTTGAGAGTTTGTTAAACTTGTACTGGCACAATGGAGTCATAACGCAACCTCTACCGAATCTGCAGCAAATAAGGGAGAACGTTATGAACTGCTTGAAAATACTCAGGCCTGATATAAAACGTACGTTGAACCCAACGCCTTATAAGGTTTCTGTTAGCGATACTTTGTATCAGTTCCTGCACAGGTTGTGGCTTGAAAATGCACCCATTGGGGAGCTATCCTAAAGCTCTAAGCAGCACAATTTATTGTATATTTAAGAAAAAAACATTGTTTTAGCGGTGCTAATTTAAAAAAATTATATAAGTTTGTTTTTAGAATATAAATTTCAAATACGCATGCGTAGGATGCCAAAACTAGTTCGGGGTTGGCATCGCGAAAACAGCTTTACTTTACTTGTTTTACATTATTATACTTAACTTGTTTTATATTATAATTATACACTTTTATACCATATAATTTTATATAATATATTTTATGTAGAGTTTGTATAAAATACATATTTTTCAAGTGCTATAATCAAATCAATAAACACGACTGCAGCAAATGTTGTTTTTCTTAAATTAGCTATCCCAAGGAAAATTATTTCCCAGTGAACCAAACCGTGACTTATGACCTAAAATTTACGTAACACGTAGATCATATCTAGGTAATACAATTTTTACGTCATAGTGACATAATACTGACCCAAAACGTGACTTTTATATGATGTAATTAAATGACTTACATATTACGTACATCTTATGTAATATTAAAGTCATATCGTGACGTAATATTAAAGTCACTTTTCTTACGTAAGACTGACATAAGAAATCTGTCATAATATTACATAACTTTTAGGTCACTGTCTTACGTAAGACTGACGTAATAAATCTGTCATAATATTACCTAAGTGTAAGGTCACTTTCTTACGTAAGGCTGACGTAAGAAATACGTCATACTATTACATACGTTTTAGGTCACTTTCTTACGTAAGACTGACGTAAGAAATCTGTCATACCATTACATAAGTTTAAGGTCACTTTATAAGGTAAGACTGACATAAGAAATCTGCCATACATATTATTTAGACGAACTAGATGCAAAAGTAATTTCAAAGTATGAAATTCACTGTATTTTAATGTTTGAATTAAACTAATTTCAATGAATGGACTTTTATTTTCAATGAGTGAAATAGTCAAACATAATTTTTATTTTTTATTGATTGAAATGGTTAATTCAAACATTGAGTAAAATAACGTAAGTAAATTCTATTAATTGAAATTGACGCCGATTATTTTAAACAATAAAATTAGTGGATATATCCAGTATACTTTTCCTTACCAATGAGTTTAATTCAAACATTAAAATACACCAAATTTCATATTTTAAAATTACTTTTGCATCTAGCATGATGAAAGAAATAACGCGAAGTTCCTTGAATTTTTTGGCTACTTATAAGTAGCCAAAAAATATAGTACTTGGTCGATTAAATGAAAATATGGTTTAAAACCAATCAAAAAATAATGTATCTTAATTTAATATGTAATAACCATCATAATATATTATAGATTTTTATGATTCCGGTTCCTACTGCTTTATGACGTAAAAAATTTTGAAAATAGCGTCGTACTTTCAAAAGTACACATTTTATTCAATGGTCATGTGAAAAATCATGTAGGTATGATTAATCATGGTTGCAAGTACTTGCAAGTACCTACTTATTTTTTAAATTGTAAAAAATTATCAACAAAAGATTTACGTGTTATTACGTGTTAACTTGTTATTTTTGTATTGTATGTTACTGTTATTATTTTTTGAAAATGGCGCTTTTGGTGAAAGTGGAATTTTTTTGTTCCACCCTGTACAATCGAAAAAATAAGTAGTTACGCTTTCAAAGACCTGAAATGATATTTCACTCACTTCAAATTTTTTTAAATGTGACCTTGGCAGTACGACGTCATTTGTTTTTTTTAAATCCATGCATGTCAAAAAATGTTAGGTACCTATTAAAATACTAAAATTTTAAATTTCTAAAATAAAAATAATTTTTAAATGTTGAATATTGTCCCTAGCTATAGCTATAGCTACTATCATAAAAAGCGATTTTTTTTTGTTCTTACTTCTGACATACCCTGTAAAGAATCTGAAAAATTAGTAGTTGGTTCAAAATCCATTGTGAGTTGGTTTTGATCAGCTTCATAAATTAGATAAAGTATCAGCTTGCAATAAATACCTTTTCGGTAATGATTCCATTTCCCATTGAAAAAAATGTGACCTTTTGACAGTACGACGCCATTTTAGAAATTTTTCAAAATTGCTTTAAGTCTAAAAGTAGTACCCAGAGTACCCTTGTCTCTGGTAGTACCTATATATTTAGAGGCCTATTCCCTTTCTTGCTGTTCATAAACATCGATTTCTTAACATGTATGTTCACCCAACGACAACGCAAACATCATCTATGTTTAAAGCTATTCCGGTTCGCGTATGTCCAAACGCTTGACCTTGGCTCGATCTCAACAGCAGTAAATGTTTTTAGGATAGGTAGTTAGTAACGCACATGTTATTTGTTTGTAAACACGCAGTGGTTGTGACGCTGTGAATTAATTTGTGTTTATTTGGAGAAAACTAAAATAATGAATGAATCACGAAAAAAAAGAACACCTCGTACATCAAGGATTCAATACCAGTTGTACCTTGATGAATTGGAGACAAACGAGGCGTTTAGGGAAAATAAATTTAATAATGAAAATCCCCAGGTTCTCAAAAAGAGTTGGGAAGCCCTATGCACCAAATTAAATGCTACCGGAGGAGCCATTAAATCTATACCGGATTGGAAAAGAGTAACTATAAAAAATGACTTGAGATAATTATTACTAATTTTTAAATAGACTTTTAGTGACTGGAAGGCCCATGTCAGAAAGAGGGCACGAAACAATAGAACTGCTCAGGTAGAGACAGGAAATGTAGGCGAGCCTGAAAAGACCCTGACAGATATCGAAGAAAGGCTTTTGGGTGTAACAGGAAAATTGGTAGTTATGGGTTTGCCTGTCCCTGAGCTAGGACTTGCTGAACCTTCAATACCAAGGCAAGCAGAGAGCTCAGAGGGTAAAAGGGCCTCTACAACAACTTTTGAAGGAATTGTCCAGGAATTAACATCAAGGCAGGCAGGTGGCTCTGGGGGTGAAAGGGCACCTTCCACAACCCCTAGGCTTCAGGGAGGCAAAAGACTGAGATGCAGAGGGATTACCCAAACAAATGTCAACAGTGAAAGTGTCGATGTTCTCAAAAGCATAGACAACACATTAAAGGCTATGTTGGAAATAAAAAAGAAAAAATTTGAACTTATGTATGGGGAAAATTTAGAAAAATAGTTTTGTTTTGAGTTGGACATAGACTAGCAAACATATGTGTCATTTATGTATGATGTACATGATTGCTAGTTTATTGCCGCCTTAGATTTACCTATTTTTTTCTGGTCATGTTTTTTAAAACTAATTTTTAAAGTTATTTTTTGTGTTTTTTATGTTAACTTTTAGGTAAAACATGAGTCCTGTTGTGTGAAGTAGTGACCACTTTTTTGCTTAGCATGACAAAGGGCATGTTTACTTTTGATTCTACAGAACTCATATATGGCCACTGTTAACTAATAATTTAGAAAATTAGATTTTTTAATATATTTATTAAATAATTATTAGTAAACCTTTTTATATATTTTATAATAAATCGTTATTAATATTATACCTACCTGTTTTTATTATGGAATTTACCTTATTATCATTGTGCAGATATTTTAATTTTATTTTAAGAAGCGACATTTGTTTGAACAAAACCAGCATATTTTTTAATCTTTTTTAATGTAATGAAAGAACTATTTTACTTAAACATTTAAGAATATAAAAGAAAGACATTATTAGAACTATTTTACTTAAACATTTAAGAATATAAAAGAAAGACATTATTATTATTATTTACAACTTTTTTTTTATTCAACTGTTTTTTAGACTCTTTAGAAAAAAGTATTTTTGATTTACAGGATACCTTTATCCAAAATAAAAAAACCAAACATTTTCTGTAAGTAGGATTAAAAAAAATTAAATTTTAATTTTTGTCAGAGTTGTATGCAAAAAAGTAAATTTTTAGGTGTAATTTAGAACAAATATTGTAAAATAAGTTGTGATCATATAAAAAAATCTTTTTTAGTCAAGTGAATCTAGAAGTGTGCAAACTATTAATAAAGAAAAAAGCAATTAAAATTTTAAGTAGGTAGTAATAAAACAAGCTTAAGCTTAATGGGAGGAGTTTAGGCTTTATCTCCTAGTCTAGGAGTTCTAGTTTTACTCCTATTGACTTTGGGAATTTTTTTTGACATGTAGGTATTATGGAATAAAAAAAATACAGCAAAAATTCATAAATATTCATTTTTAGCATAGTTGCTTTATAATAATTAGACTGGAGACATATACAAAACGTCGCAATTTATAATAAATTTAAGAGAATAAAAAGCCGTCTCTTTAAATTAAATTTTAATAACAAATAAAAATATTTACATTCAATTGTAGATCAAAAAAGTTGGTCTATCAAATTCCTACGAATTTGATTTCCTAAATCCAACAGGTTGTTATCAATGTCTAAAGGGTCCATATCATCATCTAAAATTATAAAGGTAAATATTAATAGTGGCAAGTGAATATTATTTAATTGATATTTTTACCTATTATAACTTCTGCCACATTTTCTTCAAGTTCATCATCAATGTGTAGATTTCTCTCCCTTAGGATATTGTGTAAAATGGCACATGCTAAAATTATTTGTGAAGCAAAAACTGGATCATAATGTAAAACCCTATCAGTGTTAAGACAGCGAAAATATGCCTTTAAAAGGCCAATACACCTTTCGACACTATTTCGTACAAGACAATGCTGTCTAGTGTATCGACCTTCTGGTGTATTAGCTTCAGCACCTGGAATGGGTGTTAATAAAAAAGGCTGAAGTGGGTATCCAGAGTCTCCTAAAATTTTAACAATAAAAGATGAAGTAATTCAATTACTAAATAAAAATAAAATCTACCTAGTAACCAGGAGTGTCTATCCCCATTCCGAAAATTCTCCAACAAATGATTTCGGACCCTTGACATTTGCCATATGGCAGAGTCGTGGACTGATCCTGGAAACTGTGAATTTATGCCAATTATATTTAAATCAGAATCACATATCTAAAAATGTAATTAATGATTTTTTAATAGGTTCTCTTTATATTTCTTTAGGTTACTTACTATTTGACAATTAAGACTAAAAAAACCCTTTCTATTTATAAAAATATTTCTTGGGCCATATACTCCTGCAGGAGGAGGAAAAATGGCCACATGAGTGCAATCAATGCAGCCTAATATACCAGGCATGTTAAAACGCTCAAAAAATCTAAAACAGTAGGTATAATTGTTATGAATATATTTATCTATGGATGGCTATTATAAAGTAATGTACCTATTATTTACCTACCTGGCTTTAATTTCAATTTTTTGATTTTCATCAGTTGGAAATGAAATTTTGTGATGCATAGTTTCAATAATACCTCCAATCACATTGTGGAGGCATCGGCTAACAGAGGTTTGCGACAAAGCTACATGAAAATCTTTGCCAACAGATTTCTGGTAACTTCCATGTGCAAGAAAATGTAGAGTTGATAAAAACTGAAACACATAAAAAAATTGGTCATATTTAGTAAATAGTATAAGATATTGTATTATTTAGTAAACTTACTTTTACCACAGGAGGAATGCCATGATTTCTCTCATTTCTAAGGTTATTATGTTCCTCAATAACCCCAAATATTTGCCTTGCTCCCTCCACATCTAATCTATACATTTTTCTAAATATTTCTGCAGGCAAATTAAATGGATCACTTTCATCCCTTAATGTTCTATGCAAACTTCTGTTTCTTGCTCTAAAATGTAATTTGTGACTTTTAAATTATAATAAATAATTGTATTACCTTTTTTCTAGCTCTTCGATGATATTATTGTTCATTTTGAAATAAATGCTTTGACAAAACCATATAAAACGAGGAGAATCACTCACAACAAGTGCATAACTGTACCAAATTTAACCTCAAATATCGGTTAACAGCACCTCTTAGGCAAGCGTTCGTAAACATACGTTTTCAAACATCATGTATGTTCACCAAACATCGAATTTTGGAAACGGAATAGCCATTTTAACACCGATGATGTTTATAAACATGGATGTTTAAGAAATTCTTCGAGCGCATGCGTCTATAGACGAAATAATTGAAAGGGAATAGGCTCATATGTTCCGAAACATATGTAGTTCATGAACATGCATGTTTAGCGAAAGGGAATAGGCCTCTTAATGCCTTGTTTAACATACTAAAATTTCAATTTCCAAATACAGAGGTTCAAAAAATAAAACTATAAAAAATAATACAACCAAATTTAAAGAATTTAATATTATAATATAATATGGTATAATTATATATTAATATAATACCTATAATAATAGATAGGTATTTGCACAATAATGTTGGTATTAGTATATTTTTAAAATTTAAAAAATAATAAATAAAAGAAATGAAATTGACAAACGAAATTATTTAAGTACACAGAATATTTAGTATTAATAATTAAGAAACCAAGAGATTTTTAAAAATATATGTAAACTATAGTCGTTTTTTCGCGTAAATACTATGTAATACTACGGTTAAATAAGTCATGACGTCACAGTTAATTCATATAACCATGGTTAGGTTTCTAACATTTGACATTTGTTTACTTGTTCATAACCTATAATTTTTTAAATGTGTTTTTACCTATTTATATTTAATTTCTATGCTTTTACCGGTGTAAATAAATTTCTTTGCCTCTTCTTATACCTAGTATATTCTTTTTCTATAGGTACTAGTTTTTTCAATACACGTTATCCAATTCTCCTACATGTTTAATATAAAATAAGGAAGAATATAAAAGAAACCTGCATATAATTCCTCCACTTGTGAATATTCCACAATATGGAGCACCCTATCATTTATTTTTACTGACAACACCCCGTTTTCCATTTTAATACAAAGTTTAAATTCGGTTTACCTACTTAAAATATTTTAAATTTCAAATGTAAACAACTTTTTGACAGATCGAAACAGAGAAAAATATATATTAAAAAGAGAAAGACTATTAACCACGTTGAATAACTAGCTCAGCGATATAGTTTTATGGTTTGGTATTTGTGACGTCATAGTTAGGATTTTTGAACGCACTCTAAACGCAAAAATGCCTTAACTATTAACCAAGGTTAAGTTTAATAACCATAGTATTTCATGGTATTTACGCGAAAAAAACGACTTATTAAAGATTTTTTCATTGATAAAAAAATTTTATAATAATATTATAATATATAAGGGTAAAGTTGTCAAATAACATTGATATATTAATTGTTAACAGTTGCAATATGCAGTAAGGTTGCCTATGATAAGTAGGCATCTACTATAATATAGTAGAAATCTACTTATCATAGGCAACCATTATTGCATAATACATCTCGCTTATGTGGCACTATTCGTTAAGTATATAAGTTGACACTGGCTGCATTGCAATTTGAGATTTAGGAATCCGAACCTCGGCAAATAAACGAGTCACGAATTGTGGCCTTACGATAATTTAGTTTTTTCAGTGGAATTCTTTGTTGGAGCCACAATCCACACAACAAGGTCTGTTCTTCCTCGATAAAATGCGAACGAAAATCAGGACTGTTATGCGCACCACGTGAACAGTTTAATGGCCACCATCTTTGATTTATTTGCCGCCGTTAATTTAAAAATAAAAAGTTGTTTAAAGTTTTAATGTAAACGCAAATGTTTGTTTTAAACAAAAGCTTTGACCAAAATATGTTAATTGGGGAATTTAATTAATAAATTATTAAAGATATCTTTATAAAAAGGTATTTTGAGCAAGTAAATATAGTAAAAATATGTTAATTGGGGAATTTAATTAATAAATTATTAAAGATATCTTTATAAAAAGGTATTTTGAGCAAGTGAATATAGTTGTTTCAAGTTTTAACGTAAACAGAAATGTGTTAATTAAAATAAACACAAGTACACTATTACTTGTGTAAATTAAACATTATTTTACAATATGGTAATCAATAATTTTTTTAATAACTAATAATAATTATTATAACTTTTAATACATTTTCTTAAAAATTGATTATTGGCTATATTAAAATCTTTAAATAAAATTATCAATGATGAAAGTATTTTAGCAAGAAAAATTATAAATTATACCATGGTCGATGATTTTTTTAGAAATTAAAAGTTAAGATAAAGTAATATAAATCAAAATAATTTAATTAAGACATATACATAATATTAGTTATAAGTTATAACTTATAACTATAGTTACTACTACAAATTGATAATTTTTTAGTAAATTAATTTTTGAAAGTACGGAAATTATTAATGATGAAGGGAGGATTTCTAGTAAGTAGATATATAAATAAAACAAAAAAATATAATACATATTTTTAATAAAAAATAATCAAAATAAATATTAATAAACTTAAACATAAATACTATTTTTTAAATACACTTAAATTTTTGTATATAATTTAACAAAATAAATATATTTCTTCATGCTTATAAAATAATACAATTTAGCATATTTAAATTGATAAAAGAATACCAAAACATACTGGTAACATATTTAATCCCTAATTAGGGTTAACTAGTCAACTACTAACACAAAATTTAATAAAATACGTTTTAATAACAATACGTTCTAATAACAATTTTATATAAAATAGAATATTTAAAACTTAATTTTTACCACACCATAATAGTTTTCACCTTTTTCTATGGTTTCCACTGGTTAAAAGGTATTGAATTGTATATATATCACAGTTTTGGTAAAATTGATTAGTACATTTTTGTTTTTTTATTTTATTTTAAAAATTACCTTTGGAAGAAGGTCCAATGTCCAAATAAATAAAAAAAAAATATGTAAAGGGCAGACATATTTTAATTTTTTGTATTATCCTCTTCCTGTAACATTTAATAAATAAATATTGCATTATTATAAACTATAGGTACTTAAAAATTTAACAACACACAGGTGTAGTTTTATGAAGATTTTTTTGTTTATATATTAATAAATGCATTTAAAAATTATGAAATGAAATGAACTCAAAATATATTTATGTAAATGTTAAATTTATATAAATATCATATCACCAGTTATATTGGTTTAGTAAAGAAGCAGTAGAAATAGTCGTGAAGCAGTAAAAAATAAATAAAAGAAATGAAAAAAATATTGAAATGCAAGGAGGCTAATTTAAATGGTAATAACTTTTTTTTGGGATACTATGGCAAGTTTTTTGTTTGCCTTTCTCATATAACAGTCCTCTTTATTTTTACTGTTAAGGCGTCTGACTCTAAAGTATGTCAAACACCTAGACATGCACATTAAGGCTTCCATTGGTATATCACTGTTCTCCTTTAATGTGCTTACTGCCAGTCTTGTAAAAACGTATGGTTCTTTATTAAGCTTATTATCTCCATGCATTTTAAAAAATTCTCTTAACATGCACTGGCCAGCATTTATTAACTTTTGAGTTGGTCTTGAAAGATTGCCCCTGGATAATAAAGCAATCCAGTCCAAATTTTCTTTTGGCTCCAATTCTTTTTGTACTTTCAAAAAAGGATATTTTTTTTGAAATTTGAAAGCTATATACCCGCAAGCATATTTAAGTGCCTCCTCTATTAATAAATTTTGCTCGTCAAATTTTGCAAGCAGTTCTTCCTCCTCTAGGCTAGGCCTAAAGACTTCTACTACATTTTCCTGGAAAATTTATTTAAGTTCAGTGAAAATACATACAGAGTATGAAACCTTTTTTGTAAATAATTAAAAAAAAATAAAAAAAACTTTTATAGTCAAATGGAAACTTAAAAAGGAATTAAAAAATAATTTAATAATTTTAATTTTATTGATGTAATTTATTGCTAGAAAGGTCACACTTCTTGTATATTTTCACTTAAATAGCAAAGCAACATAAAAAACATTGTGCATTAAGGCATTAAGCAATCTACAAGGCCATTTCAATAAAGCAAACATACACAAGTAGCAATTGGTATTCATAGATAAACCTCTGATGTATCCAAATTAAGGTATTAGGCTGATGCGACTGAAACATAGAACACAAACAAAACATTTGGCAAAACATAGAACACAAACAAAACATTTGGCAAAACATTAATCAATCTATTAGGCTGATGCGACTGAAACATAGAACACAAACAAAACATTTGGCAAAACATTAATCAATCTACAAGGCTATTTAATAAAGCAAACATACACAAGTACCAATAAGCATTGTACTTATACCTCTGAAGTGGAAGGCATTTCATCCCAGATATCTGTTTCAAAATTTTCAAATTCAAAATATTCTAATGTTGAGTGTTTTTCAACAGACTCTTCAGGTTCTTCCGACCTAAAAAACTCCACCAATATTTGATCACCATCCTCATTGTCTGCAGTGGGTTCCATTGTATTGGCAGAAAGTATTGATGCAGCATGGCGCCCCAACACATAGCTTCTCAATCTGTATTTGAATTCTAGGGCAGACATTTTATCATGACCTGCACCCATCCCCCTAAGAGTCGCATATGATTGCTCATTCATATCTTGATTGACCCTTCTAGTTAATATATAGCTAATTGGGTTGGGTGAGGCCTGATATTTTTCCTTTAAATACTGCAGAAGGCCTTGTAGGGATTTGTTACTTAAGAGTATTCCCTTTTGAAAGGGAAGAAGGGCAGCCCTCTTAGTTGGTAAGCCATCAAGGGATTTTGTTTTAGCCACAGCACGCATTTCTCCCATGAACTCAGTCATCCGATTAATAACTTCATTTTGTTTGTCTAAGTTTACACCATACCCATGGGCCAAATCATGTGGTCCAAACTTTGAATGTGAGTTACAAACATCGAACCAGTCGTTGCATAGCTGGATAAATTCTGCCGTTTCTCTCCAATATGGGTCATCTTGTAGGTAACCCTTTTCCCCCAAAAATATCAAACCTTTGGCTACCCTATTCGATAGCAACTTAACCGCCCACTTTACCTTTTGTCTCTCACTTCCTGTCACCTTCAGCATTTTTTCCATCAGTCCTGGGGTTATAGTGAGGTCGTTATCTTCTGTATGCTGCACCAACCTCCATATGCTTTTGGTAGAGATAAATGCGCCTCTGAAGATAAATCCCGTGTCCAGGAAGTGATTTCGTACCAATTTAATCATGTGCGGAAAATCGGCAAAGATAAAAATTTTTGCACTTTCATCAGATGGGTGCCTTACAAAACAAGCCTGATCAGCGCCAATTCCACAGCCTATGGATTTTAAAAATGCCTGGTTGTTTGGCCCCAAATCACATACTGTCGCAACAACTGTGTATCCAGTGTTATATAATGTTTCAAGAATATTAAAAAATGATTCCTTAGTCATAACATCATCATACTTGTAATAAACAGGTTGTTTCCAACGGTGAGTCAAGCCTCGTGCCATAACTGTCAGACATGTTTTGTGTGGCCCAACCTTAAAAAATACATTATATAAATTTTTGTTTTAATATAGAATATTTACTTACCACTTGCTGCTTTTTTTTGTCAATATCAATTTGGGATGACAAATGTACATCATCAAATCCAAAGACAGTTAGGCGCTGAATGTCATTCAGTGAGTCTTTTTTTATACTCATTGCTTGGAGTACTGGAGATAAAATTCCTTCTTCAAAAATAATATCTGAAATCCACTTTCGCATTGTTGATGGAGCAGGAAGAGGTAGATTTCGTACTTTTCGCCAATATTCATACGCTCTATGCCCATAATTATGAGCAGTAATGGCGCTAGAAATATCTTCCTGTGTCCAAATAGTCCTGTTTTTGCTTGGGTTTAAAAGTAAATCCACTTGTTTTGGTGTAAAAACTTTGGAAAGATTTTCAACCACAGTAGATTTTGGCATGCTGTCCTTAATAATCAGCTGTAAATTTTTAATGCTTTCTTGCAAATCCACTTTTGATTTCTGAAGCTCTTTAATTTTCAAATTTTTAGCATTGACTTTCTGTTTCATTTTTAACATTTTAGCCTTCATGTTAAAAATAATATTTTTATACTCATTAACCCTAAAATGTACATGTCATGTATATGTATATTTAAGTTTGACAGGCTAACGTATACAGTGTGTATTACACAAACACATGGAGAAAAAATTACAGCACTGATCGATGTTACTTTGTGAACAATCAATTATAAGAAACAGCTAAGGTAATGATTACTGCCTGCATACCAACCTTAGCTGTTTGTTACACTTTTTCGTTACAAAGTTAATACCACGGTTTAGGACAGCAGTATTTTTTTTCTCTGTGCAGATAACAAATTTTTTTATTTTAATGTAAAATCACGTGAGCTCATATCTCCACACAGTTGTATAACAAGCTCACATTGACTTCACTTTTGATTTAAATCTAAACAAAATTTTGTTAATAATAATATTAATAATATTTCTATAAAAAAATATATAATTTTGATTTAAGTCATAATTTTTCTAATACAATCCTCTTAAATTGTACATGTTTAAGCCTATACAGGAGTTTTATAAAATTATAGAGTAAAGCTCCTGTATAGATACCTATGCTTAAATATTCACAATTAAAAAATATTGAATAAAATGTTAAAATGTTTTGATTCTAGTCGGAATCTTTTCAATATAATCATCTTAAATTAAGCTTATTATTAAAAATTATTATCAGAGTAACAATTTTTTTAATTTAATTTTAAATCAAACATGCTTTAACATGGAAATCACTAATGGTATCTGGTGAAATTATGATAATATAAACCATAGATATCTATGATATAAACTGGGCAACACCATATAATAAATTATACATAAAAATTTTACTTACGTTTTTGGTTTTAAATTTTCCTTATTTCCTTCAGTTGACCTTTCAGGCAAGTTGATGGCATTATTAGGCAGGTCATGCAATGGTTCAGAACTGCTAATTTAAAAATAACATTCATATTAATATGTTTTTTATTCCAAATAATTTATATTACCTTTTGGCACAAGTTGCTTCATTTGGTAGATCTACAACCATTTCTAATGTTTCAGATCTGTAAATTTCACAGTTGGGAAATTATTTAACAGATATAAAAAATAAATGGTATAATATTGTTAATTGAAGACAACAACAATAAAATATTACCTTTCAGGCAAATGTAAAGTTGGAACAGCATTCTCAGTAAGGCCTCGGTAGGCTTTAGGTGGTAACAAACCATACAAAACTTCGTGTGGATGCCTTACCAAATATTTTTGCTCAAAATGTATAGCACAAATTCGATCTAAATAAATAATATACATTAATAATTATGTTTTGCACACATTTTAGTGGAACTTACGAGACTTTGGTTTTTCCATATTAACCATTGAATTACCAGCAGCCTCAATCCATTCTTTGGCTTTTAAAGAGTTTTTGGGCAATGTGAAAAATTTTAACTCTTTGTTGTTTTTGTTGTTGTTCTTACAACTTTTTACCATGCAGTACGACACTAAATAATTAAAATTATGTAGATAGAAAACTGACTACCTTAGTTTTACTTACTGGTTAAACAATATTTATTTCAAAATAGGCACTAATTAGTGTTTATAAACAAGTACACTAGTACAGTCAACAGCCAATGACAAAATCAACACAAACAGGAGCGCACTCAACTGATTCACATGAATTTCACACTGGTAACGTCAATAAAACAAAAACAGGAACACACAGGAGCAAACTCAACTGATGTCAATAAAATCCAATAAACTAACAACGATTAAAACGATTATTAATCTGTATAAACAGAGCACAAATCCAAAGCACAAAGATTGTAAACAACAAAAATGGCCGCCATTAAACTTTTTGCAGTGGGTTGCCTACCTCCGTGATTTTTAGTATGCGCGAAACGAGGAAGAACAGACCTTGTTGTGTGGATTGTGGTTGGAGCCAGGATTGTTCCGTCCAGGGTTGTTCCAAGCTACACAATTGTGCAAAATGCTACACTTTTTAACAAGTAGCTACACCGGGGCACCCCAATGGCAAATTTTATTGTTTTGCTACACTTTTTTGATAAAGTAAACAAAAAACTACACAATTATAAGCAATTTCTTATTGATTAATCAATAAAAAAAAAATTCTTTCTACAAGAAACCATCTTGAGTAGAGTCCTTATCATAGATTAGATAAAGATAAAAATCTATGGTCCCTATAGTGTAAAGCTACTGTAGAACTCTGGTAAAACTGCACGAGTCACCATCTATATTCTAATAACCACCAAAACGAATTGAATTTTTCGAATTCGCCAATCTGGCCAAAGATGTCGCAAACGCCGACGCCCCATTTTAAAACTGCACAATGCTACACAATTTCATTATCGAGTTCTACACTTTGAAAAATTAGCCAGGAACAACCCTGGTTCCGTCTGGATCGTCATGAAATTTCCGTGGCCCTCTGCTTAAACAGTGCCTGCTTTGCAAGGCCAAAGCCGCGAACCCACAATTTCACTCATTTAACGTCAAGAGGGAACTGATTTCAGCCAAGTGAGCTGCTTCAGTATTTACATATTTTGCCCCATGATGAAAAATAAGGAGGTCATATTTATGTCACATTTATTACGTAAATATTATGTAATAGTATGATGTCAGTGTTACATCAAGATGTTTACGTCAGAGTCTGACGTAAGAAAGTGTGAAATAATGACTCTTGTATGACTCAAGTGTGACCTATATCTTACGTAAGCGTGACTTGACATGACGTCATATTTACGTCATATTTACGTAATTGTGTTTACTGGGTTATATACATGGTGTCCAAATAAGTTTTTCCTGTCATTTTTGCATTAGTGACATTTTTTTAATAAAAAAATCATTAAAATTTGTTGTTGTTCCTGACCTACGACAAATGACTAAAATATGCTTGCACAGTGGACAATACTCTACATTTATTAAAAATTTATCATTGAATACTTGTTGATAATTGTTTTTTGTTTTGTATATTTTTAGGTACCTACTTTAAATAAAACAATACTTACTTTTTATTTACTATTTAAAATTTTATCTTTCACTTTTTACGTCGATTGATGCTCATGTAGCTATTTTTTAGGTGTTCCACAAAATTTTCAACTATCCCGCAGTTATTATCCACACAAATTTGACAGCGACGTAGAAAATTATGATGTGTCGCTCTTGCTATCATATGCGGATGATTTCGGATTTCATCTGCCGCTGCAGTGACATGTTCGCGGAGTTGTTCTAATGTGTAAACCTTGCTCTGGTGAACTGTATATGTAGCCCCAGAGAAACCACGTGGTTTCTCTGGACACAACCGATGTTGTAAAAGTTAAAAATAGCCCACTAAAAATCATTTTTTTCACTAAGCTACAAGTTTATAGTTGATGGGAGTAGGTACCTATATTTTTTTGCAAAATATATGTATTATACAACACGTGCAATACACGTCGTATATATCTTTACCAGGGATGTTGCAGATATTAGCATCTGCATCTACAATAATCAATAATCATGAAGCATAAATTTAATAAGAAACATAAAATTGGCCATCTATTTTCTTACAAGCATTGCTGCAATGTTGCCAATGACACGGCAATTGCCGCCCAGGTAGCACACTGACGTTTGCTGACGTTTATATGACGTTTAAATGACGTTAGCAACGTCATTTCAACGTCATATAAACGTCAGCAGACGTCAGTGTGCTACCAGGGCGTGTTTTCACGGCTTTTTAGACCCAATGTATGGTCACGGCTTCATGATACTGCTGTGCATTTAAAAACACGGCTTTTTCGTTAAAATATTAAATTCATATTTCACCATTTCTGTTATAAAATAATTAATTAAATATTCAATAAAAATGCTATTTAAAAATATCAAATTCATATTTCACCATTTCTGTTATAAAATAATTAATTTTAAAATAAAAACACTATTTAGTTTTACTGAAGTTGATAATCTTCTCGAAGTGTACGACCAAGACCTGACTGAGCCTAATTTTTTTCTGCTTAGACAATTGGCAGCTCTGGTCGAAGCCACGGGGATTTCCTGCTTTACATTCTTTTATTACAATCATATAACAAATATTACAATTGTAAATTAAGTCACATAATACAGTAACTGTATTACAGACTGTTACAGTTCGGTTTTGCGTCTCGTGTTGCGCTGAAAATGCGTCGGCACAAGTGCGCTTTAAATGCACCGGCACACGTGCGCTGCATATGAGACGCATATGTAAGCGCATCTGTGTTGTGATCTGCGCGCACGCGTGCCGTTTAAAGACGCACGCGTGCTCTCACTGTGCGCGCATCGTGACTAAATTTTGCTATCTGGGTATGAAAGAGTATTTGAAATATAAGTGACTTCTCGACCCAGGAGAGGCAGAATCGGACTGGTATTAATGAAGAATTTGTAAAAATATATGGAAATAACTAAGAGATGGGTCGAATGAGTGAAGATTAAAGATAATTAGAAAATTCTGTGTATGAAGCCATGTCGTGTTAGTATACTATAAGTTGCGTGCGGACGTTTTTCCAAAAACTCCTGCTCTCTAACTCAAACTTGTGTGTAACGCCAGTTGTAGCCATCTTGGTTATTTGAATCCGACGCCGCGACATCGCGCCCTCTATCGTACGAACGCTTCAACTTTGTTTAAATTTCCCGCCGCGTGTATGTGCTGCCACCTGCTGGACAATCAATTAATTGCAGTGACATTTAATTTCAAAACCTATCGTCGTGAGTACTGACACCTGTTAGTAGTTGTGTAGTAACAGTGAACAAGTAGTTTATTTAAGTTTATTATTAATCATTTGAGGATATCGTAATCAACAAGTAGACCCGAAACTACAGGTATGCCAAGACATGTTAACATTGTAATTGTTTTTCCAACGTAAAGAGAGTAAGAGCCATTTCATAAATAAATTAATGAATCGGGAATATCTACCTGCCTACAGTCAGTTAAATCAGGTGACAACACCCTAGTACTACTGATGTTAAACTATTCCATTTTTCACCAAATAAATACCACATCAGGCATATATTGACGGTATGATCTGCACCGGAAGTCAATATGACATTTTTCTTAAAAGTATATAGACACCAGTGGCGGATTAGGGATTTTGGGTATACCAATATCTCAGTTATTAGACATGGGACCCACACTAAATTTATAATAGTTTATTATGACATTAAATAGACAAGTTCGGCGCAAACAGAATTTAAATTGAAGTTTGCGAAAAAAAGTTAGTTTTTTGTGTCGCCTCACCTGGCTTCTGGCCCCCCCATTTGAGATAATTCAAATTAAAGTGGTGCAATTTATACTCCACTATAATTTATCGACAAATTTAAAATTTTATTTAAAAAATATAAATTTTACAGATTTTATACGATTTTAAATTTTTATTATTTATTTTATTATAATAAAAAAATATTTAATATGGTATAAAATCTGTAATATTTGGATTTTTCAAATAAAATTTTAAATTTACCGATAAATTATAGTGAAGTATAAATTGCACAACTTTAATTTGAATTATCTCAAATGGGGGGGCCAGAAGCCAGGTGAGGCGACACAAAAAACTAACTTTTTTTCGCAAACTTCAATTTAAATTCTGTTTGCGCCGAACTTGTCTATTTAATGTCATAATAAACTATTATAAATTTGGCGTGGGTCCCATGTCTAATAACTGAGATATTGGTATACCCAAAATCCCCAATCCGCCACTGATAGACACCTTACATTATTAATTGCTTTTAAAATACAGCTGGCTAAATTCCGGAAGGGAAAGGCCAAAACACTCAGAAGAAGAAGAAGAAGTCACACAATAAGGAATTTTCTTCATAAATAAAAATATTAGAGGTGGAGAACTATCGATGGCAACTATCGGACTATCGATAGTTTAACCACTATCGCCATCTATCGATAGTCAGAGGAATTTGAACGATAGTCACCGAAAATCGCCCGCTAAAAATTCATCGCCTTAAAGTTTCTAATTTTAATATATCATATTAAATATAATTAAAAATAAAAAATATTAAAAAAATAAGTAGAAAGTCACTAAATTTTAATTAAGAAAGCAACCTTTTTTACCGACTACATGACATTTGCTGTGCGAAATAGTTATCTATATAGTGTTCGTGATACTCGACCTGTGATTTATTTTTGTTTATTATTCCCCCAATATTAAATTTAAAACTATCGATAGTACTATCGATATTATCGATGGTGTTAGAATCGCACTATCGATTAATCGTAACCCAGCACTATCGATAGTTCTCCACCTCTAAAAAATATGTTTCAAATTTGACACGACCATAGTTCGTAAAAACACGGCAATTTTCGATCATGCGCGCGTCTTTTAATTTCGACTGGTTGGCAGCACTGAGCAACATCCTCTTTCTACTTTGTTTTATTTGAAAAACTTCGTCGTAGAAGAATAATAGTTCTCATTTTCTATACCATGCCTACTCAGTTTTGGTAAGTGTAGGTACCTACTAACATGTTCTACTATTAGAATTATTAAAACAAGGACATTTATTATCAGTATTTGTTTAAATGATTTCCTTTAAAAAAAGTTTATTGAAACCCAAGAATCCAATTTTTTTAGGATACCTTAAAAAAGTAATTTTGCAGTATTTATTTTGTAAATTAATTACTAATTAATGAATTAATTATTATTAATTAATATTATATTAATAAACAATATACATATTTTATAGAAAAATTGAACTCGAAACTACGTTTTATTTATTTTCATCTTCAACTTAAGCTTGATTCTCTGATTTGGCGATCCTTTTCCAGTATTAAATCTAACTTTTGGTTAAATTCTCTGTTATATTTGTTATCCAAATTCGTTCTATCAATATATACTTGTTTTTTAATGTACTCGGGTATTATCGGATAAAACAAATGGATAAGATATAAAATAAAAAATACGGATACCTAAAACAAAATGTAGTATACGTACTATAGTCCTTTATGAAAGTTGGTATAATGAGTATACTCATTATACCAACTTTCATAAAGGACTATAGTACGTATATAGTATATGTATACATTAAAATGAATGATGTGAAATAAAAAGGTAATTAAAATTAACTTCTTGGTTAATGTACCTTTTGGTTAAAAAGAAGTTAATATTTGTTAGTTTTTGGTTTAATGTATCCTTTTTAACTACTTTTTAATTCTTAAATAAACTTAAATTACACTGTAGGGAGGTGAAAATATCACAGCTAAACGCTCGGACACGTAAACTTAAAATAATTATTTTTTGGACGTACATTACTAATCCATGCTTGGTTTAGCTGTATCAGCTCAAAATTCAAAGATATTGAAAACACCCTGTATAAATTTAAAAAAAATCAATTTGGCTGGACCCACACATCAGTTCCCTAAAACATTCTTATAGCAATAAGGGAAGGTTCTAAGAATATTCCATTATTCCGGGTCATATCTTCTTAGAAGATTCTTAAAATCAAATCAGGGATTGTGATTACTAGCTAGTTCATAGATTTTTGGTAAAATATAACTTGTTGATTAAAAAAATATAACATAATTAACCAAAGCTGTGGTTATTTTACTACAAAGTAATATAAAAAGTTAAATCAAACCAAAATATGTCTAAAAAAATAACTGTAGTTTTAACCATTTTCAAAGGTTAACATTAGAAGTTATTATAACGTTATAATGTTAATGGTTGAATACAACTAATTTGTCAAAAAAACAAGTTTAAAAAAACGTAATTTTACTTAGATTTTGGTTAATTTACTTAGTTGTGTCTTATTTTTAGAATTCTAACCTCAATAATCATAAAAGCGAGGCATTTCACCATAAGATATTGATATTGCTCCTGTCGATGCTCATATTTTTCGGGATGATGTGGGCCATAATATATGCCTCTGTAAATGCATAGGTTTTTTGTATTTTCTTGATTAGGTGCTTTACCGAACACTCCAAACGGCTGGAACTCTAAAAATAATTTTGTAATACTTAAGTAAACTGGTTTACAAATTATTAAAAAGGGAAATGTACATTCAGTGCTACTATTTTTTTATAATGTATTATTTTGGACAATACACTTAAAATACTCGACTGAATGGGAACTCGACAAAAAAATAAAAAAAATTCATTAGAAAAAAAGTTGCATCGAAAGTACATTTTGGCTGTAAACCAGTGTATAGTTATATATTTATACCGGAAAAAAGGGCATCTTTATAGGTGACATTTTCATTAAATAGGAACTCATTAAATTTAACAACCGATCTATCGACTATTTCACCACAAAATATGATTACAGCCAACTAAAAGAAAACATTTTAATTTATCACCCTTAAATTTTAGAATCGATAAGTCAACTACTGAACATTAAATGTTTTGTTCATAATACGATAAAGAAGTATCGGGTTTTCGCAACGCGCGCGCCACCTGGTGGACTTTGATAGGATTGCGTGAATTTAAGAATTGTCAACAATAAATTTAAAGCATACAAACTGTACATAATTTTTAAATAAATAGGTAGTTTTTTCACAAAAGAGAGGAAGGCAGAAGTCTTACTCGACAAATTTTGTTCAATTCCACAGCTAAATCGCGCACGTTATTTGTGTTATAAGTTGCAAGGAAAAAACTAAAAAAACTGGTTTAGTATACTAACTATAATAGTTACTCGATTTCTTTTGATTATTCTTTATATCATTGATTAAGAAACTCAACGCTTAAATGCTTATATAGTTACGTTAGTGTGTGTATTTTATCAAAGGGATCATGGTGAATTATTGTGTTTTTAATTGTAAATAAAATTCAAGAACTAAATCGTTGCATTTTCATGTTTTGCCAAAGGATCCAATTCGGTAAGTACATTTGTTGGTGCAGAATTAACTAATGATAACTTTACCTAATATAATTTATATTTAAGTTTGGACATTTTTAAGAAATAAGTAAATATTTTTGCACAAACATAACCTTAAAATCAACCATTTTTATATTTGAGTTCTCTAAAAAACGCCGACCACTGCATTTTAAACAAGAAAATATACCTGGGAATTCATGGCAACATAATATTATATATATTACATAGTTAATATAATGGTATTTTACCGTTGACTGGAGACTCTTAATCAACGCTTTTAATAATGCTTAATGCTGTTTAAATTTAGACGACTTATTTGTTTGACGATTTTTACTAAATTGAAATGTTTACACTTTTTACGTTAATCATTACTAAAATGTGTATTTATTGTATCTAATAGATACAATTTACCGTGTGAAATTTATTTCTTCATTCGGATTAACACTGTTTATTGGAAAAGCGGTAAAAACTCAACTCAGGATTTCCTCTCGAAATATATACTTCGAGTTCTAATTGATCGATTTGACCATGGTTTAAGTGCTTGTTTGCAAACAAGCACTTAAATCAAAGGTAATTGAGCCATCTACAACTTTCTCTTGTATAGTTTTGGTATAGGCTCAGTAGTTCGATACTGGCGATTTTATGAAGTTGAAAAAGTCCTTTTTTTTTACAAAAATCGAGGTCAAAATTTACATATCTTTCTGGGAAAGATAGAAAGTCCACTTTGATTTATTTTACGTATAGATTATACCTACTTAAAGGAAAAAAATAAGCTGCTGTTGATAAACATCCATGGATAAATGGCAAAGTTATGAATTTTTCAGTGAAAGACCAAAATTCAGTTTTTTTCGAGAATTTTTACGTTTTTTTCCTTTTATTGAGTTATATAAAGTTTAATATTGAACATTGATTTTTATTTTAAACATTAAATATTGAAATTAAATTATATATTGAATATTGAACAATATATTTATAAATATTGAACATTGAAGATATTAAAAGTTTTATTTTGTTGTAATAAGCATAGGTTTAAAAAATCTGGCTCCTTGTTTGTTCTTCTTCTTCTTCTTCTCTGGTTTGATTGGCCTTTCCCTTCCGGGATTTAGCCAGCTGTATTTTATTATTATTATACTGGAAAAAGCGAGTCTAGGATAACCTATAGCTTCTCCTTTTCTTCTTGGTTTTATAGTTTATTAATTATTATTATTTATGTCACTTTTAGATTCTTTTTTCACTTATAGTCTTTTTATTCACTTATGTCCATCACTATCATTTTTGTCTTTTTTAGAGTTTATTCAATAAAGCTTATATCAGCAGCGGAAGTCACTTTTATTACACTTTTACACATACAAAATCACGATATTAGCAGCGGAAGTTACGAGGCAAAATAAAAATTAAAAAAAAAAACCGACTAAGCACCACATGGCTGTTTGCAGAAATATATTCAGTCCTTCAATATAACGATCATCCTTTGTGGAAATCCCTTGCATCTTTACCAATCTATTGCAGATTTTGTGGATTCAACAACTATCAACTTATTTATGGCATTAATAAATTTTATGCGTTGTGTTTCATATTATCCACTCAAGGATAGCCGATCCATCTACTTCAGCAGATAACACAAAACTGCTCCTTGTTTGTTGTTTTCGTATTCCGTTTCTCGTATAAGGGACCAAATCATGGCTGCATTCCAGAAGCCGTGATACCGCCGCTCCATTGCCTTCATTTGCTGGTGAAAACGTTCTCCGTGCTCATCACTAACGTCGCCCAGATTGTCTGGGTTATTTACGCACTCGAACTCTCTACTTCTTTTACACTTTTTATTAACTAAATAAAACCATGATAAAAATACTCTGTTAAAATATCAAAAAATAGCAGTAAAATGTCACTATACCAACACGAGAAACAAAAGAATTCACGTTTGCGGAGTCATGTCAAATTTAAATTTTATATGTTTTCGGTGAAAAAAGTACGTAAAAAACATAAAAAATTTCAATCATGCACTTTAATTTGGTTTTCATTAAAAAATAAACATAACGAAATAAAAGAAAAAAAATAAAATAAAAATCGTCAAAAAGCTGAAATTTGGTCTTCCACAAAAAAATTCATTCATTTTTTCATGTATTTTTATCAACATTACCTTGTTTTTTTTGTAAAAATGTCAGCTTCACGAAAAAAAATCCAAACTGGAGTTATCTGTTTGATTTAAACCTTTCCCAGGACGATGTGTAAATTTTCGACCTCAATTTTTGCCATAAAAACGATTTTTTTAAGTTATTAAAATCGCTAGCGTCGAAATACTTATCCGATATCAATAGTATGTAAAATAAAGTTTTAGAGGGCTCAAATACCTTCAATTTGAGGGCTTGTTTGACCAAATCGATCAATTAGATTTCAAGCTATACTAAAAAACGTCAAAACACCTCCGAAAATTAAAAAAAAACATGAAAATTCATATTTCAAAAACGCTTCCATATTTTCCAATTTTTTTTGTGATTTTCGTGTTTAGTGGGTTAAAATACATGGAAAAATTATAATAGGATATGGTGGGCAGATTTTTTTTTCGATTTTGTAAACTATTAGTTTAGTTTAGTTTATTTATATTTTCCAATAATACAATATTACATTGTGCTGGACAAGTCAAAGTCAAAGTCAAAGAATGAATGTATACAAAAAAAAAACTTTAATTAATCATTGAAAAAATCACTAACTGAGTAAAATGTTTGAGACAAAAGATATAATTTGAGTTGGTATTTAAAAATTCTAACATTTCCTAAATCTTTAAGATTGGTAGGTAACCTATTCAATATTTTTGGCCCTATGAAATCAGGTGCATTTTTGCAAAGGCTAAGCCTGGCATATGGTATATGCAAATCGGAATGTTGCCTAGTAGTATGGGTATGATAATCGTTATTTTTGTAAAAATTACTTTTGTTATTAAAAATATAAACGCAGATTTCAAAAATAAATACAGATGGTAAAGTAAGAATTCCATTATTTTTAAAAACAACCTTACAGCTGTGTGATTTTGATAAACAAAAAATACACCGTAGAGCTTTTTTCTGGGCGATGAAGATATCCTGTGCCAGAGTGGACATTCCCCAAAAACATACACCATATCTGAGACGGGACTCAATTTGAGCGTAATATAAGTTAATCAGTTGATTTTTCGATAACAAATTTAAATTTGTACTTTTGTTACGATGATAACAGCCGAGTGGTGGCGCTACTAGCGATACTTCTTTAGCGTATATCGTCGATAACTTTACGTTTAAAATGGAAGTAAAGAGAACCATGGCGTCCATGATACTTAACCATGGTTTTGTGCTGTAGATTTTCTGCGTCGACACCGGTCGACGCGTGTTGTAGACCAGGTCTATGGCTTCCCTGCGCAGGGACAAAATGTTGTGAATAAGGGCGCACATTGGCGCCAAAGGAAAACTATACACGAAACCAATTAGCATTCCAAACTGAATTACTGTAAAAAATAAATGTAATGTAAGTCAAAATGTTTAGTCAAGCCGTGAAATTGCTGCGTTTGTTAAAACTGCTTAGAACTTTCCCAAGTAGCACAACCCTTGTAAACATTTTTCTCTGAAAAAGTTTTAATAAGAGTTTTTAAAGTCTTGCTCTCTTAAAAAGTCGGAAAAAGTTAGAATAAGACTTATTAAGTCGATAAAAGTCTGAATAAGTCTTAGTATTACTTAAAGTCAGACTAATAGCAAGATTTGGGAGTCTTCTGGAAGAGGTAATAAGACTTAATAAGACTTTTAGCAGAGAAATGGTAGATACCTATAGCGATTAAAATAAATATCCGGAATTATTTGGTTATTGCAAAAGAAAGCACAATGAAAAGTATATATAAACACTGTTTTTGTGTTGTTATAAGGCTTATAAAAACACGGAAGCAATGTTTATGCCGGATGAATGTAATAAAAGTTCCCGACCAAAAATTACAAAATACTAAAAAAACCAGTTATATTTCAAATTTACTAGCGCATTCGCCCTGTTTTAGTAAAAGTAAATAAAAATTAAACAGGATATCCTATATAGAATAAAATAATTATGCATTTTTAGTAAACATACAATATTATTTACTAAAAATTTCTTCAGTTAGTAATTTGATCGAAATTTGCAAAATATCCGATTTTACCCGCTTCAAAATTCTACCTGCAAACATGACGAAAATACCCGATTTCCGAGTAAAATACCCGCAAACGGCAACACTTGGTAAGAAGTGACAGGAGAGCTGTCTTGAAAACGCGGGAAGATGCCATCACATGATAGATCAGCTGCGCTCTAATTGGTCAGCTGAGAAAATCGATATTGTGTCTAAAAAAGTGTTTGGAACAATGGTTAGATGAATATTTGCGTATACATATACGAAACTATTAAAATAAAACGTACAGTGGCAACAATTAATAAAAGCAAGTCAAGCGCATCGTATGTAAAAAATTATAATTGTTATAATTATTAAACTTCACATATGTTATTATATAGGTATTTATGCAATAAACTTGGCTTATTACCACCCCGGCAAAATGTTAATAAATACTTTTCTTTGTGTTTTATTTTATAATAATCAAATACAACCTCTAATTCTGGATATTTATTTTAATGGCTATAGTTAGGTTCCTACCATTTCTCTGGTAAAAGTCTTATAGAGTCTTATTAACTCTTCTAGAAGACTCCCAAATCTTGCTATTAGTCTGAGTTACTAAGACTTATTCTGACTTTTTCCGACTTATTATTCAGACTTTTTAAGAGAAAGTAAGACTTTAAAAACTCTTATTTTTACTTATTAACTTATTTACCTATTGATAATTTATAACTCTTTGGTTTTGGTTTCAATTCGGTTAATGTAATGTACCTAATAGTCAGTGGCGTAGGCTATAGCCTCAAGGGGGCCCCGTATCAAAAATCTGGTAGGGGCCCTTATACGGCAAAAATTTCTGGGTGTCACGCCCAAAGTCTATTTTGGGCAAACAAAACAATTTTAGGGTATTTTTTTTGCATTTACCAATTTTTTATAATTTAATAAATAATACCTAGGTATATAGCTATATGTATACATAGCTTTTAATTTACAGGCAAATTTTATAATGTGGTCTGGTTTTAGACATTTACCGTTTTTCAACATCTTTTAAAAGTTTTCTATTTTAAAATAAACAATTATTTCTAATTTGCTATTAATATAACTTATGATAATAACACGCAAAGCAGACTCAGTATGCGGCGCAGAGTACAGAACAATATGCGCAGACAACGCATAGCGGAAAGGTGCGGGCAGAAACAATTCGTATGAGTTCACGGCCTCGTTGGAACAGGAAGGTATTCAAGAAAATTAATTTAATAAATCGAAGTATAAACAATTAAATAATAATATTATTTATTTATTTAATTTCATTTTTTTAACATGTTGGTAATATGTTTTTTGCTTACGCATCTCGAAACCAATCGGGCCCCCCCTATATACAGGGTGTCCCAGAACTCGCGCCACATAGAAAAACGGAACGTGCCAAAAGTAACGTGAAACACATATTTGAAAATTAAAATTGTCTAACGCAAAGGATAAGCGAGATAAGAATAAAAAACGATAGCCAATCCCAATAGATGGCCTTAGGGAATTCTTTAAATTGCTAGGATACTTAGGTTGCATTTTTGATAATAAAAAATATGTAAAATATTTGGTCCACTGGAATCCAATTCATTGTGACACTGCTGTCAAACTCCTGTCATTAATATTATATTAGGTTATAAATTAAGTTATTATAAATAATGTTTTTCTTAGATGATTATACTGAAATGATAATTATTTATTTATTTAGTGTGGGAGACAACGCGAGTTTTTTCCCAGGGGGCCAATTTTTGACCGTTCGTAACTCTTGAAAGCGTTTGCAAATGTACGATTTGTAACAAATCTCATTTTTGAGCCATCGCATCTTTGCGTATACGCAAATTTTCATACGTTTTACTGCGAGCGGCGAAATACTCGCTAAATGTCACAAACGTATACGTTATGTGCATAGAAATAAGGTTAAGTGTCTTCTGCACACCCAGTTTTTATTTTTATTTTTGAAACTCAGCCCTATGCAATATTATAACATAGTTATTATAAAAGAGCAACTCAAGACTCAAATTTTGGTATACAAAATTTAATGTTTATGATTGTTAAAACCACAAAAATTTTAAGCTTAAGTTTGAAAGTGAGCTAAAGCCACCCGTGTTTACGGTATTGTTTTTTAAAATTTGCACTTGGGTATGGGAGGGATATTTTTTTTTTAATTTGAGTTTGGGATGAAATGAAAGATTTTCAAAATTTGTGGTTAATATTGAAGATTTTTTAATTTGAGCTTTTGGGGTTTTATTTCATTATTCATTTAGATGTGGAAGAGATGATTTTTCAAAATTAGCGGGTTTCGGTTGTCTTGAAAATTCGCGCATATAGGAGTGATGAATCCATTAATATTCCTAGATGCAATAGCTAAAGTTACATAAATCAAGTGGTTACAACCACCTATAACCATGGGATAAAGTCCACCAGTGAGATTCAAAAAGGCTTAAAAGATAACTTGAATTAAAGTTTTAATTTAAAATTTAACACTCAAAATTCCTGCAAAACAAAAAATTATATAGAAAACGAACTAATGTGGTATAAATTACTGAGGACATTGAATCATAGAACTGTTTTGTTAAACCATTATACAATGAAATATACAATAAATAAATAAAATAAAAAAAAAGTAGTTCAAACGCACCCCAATTTAAAACGTTGCCTGATTTATCATTCGCATAAATGCGAAGACTTAACTTGGGCTTATTTTGTTTTGCGCATGGCGTTCAAAAATTGATAAATAGAAACGTATACGATTTATGTCGTGCGCAACTGAGAGTATACGCAAATAAACGTACACTCTCAAAAATTGGCCCCCAGCCCTTTCCTAATCGTTATTTTAAAACATTGGCGTTTTGAAGTATAAGTCATAGATTAATAACCTCATTTTTGAAAGCTTTTGACAACTTAGTAAATACAGTTGGCCAAAAGATTTTTAAATGATTTTAATACAACAATGTTAAACGTAGGAGCTTAAAAAATTGCTAGGAGACGATAGAATTCTATCGTCTCCTAGCAATTTTTTAAGCTCCTACGTTTAACCTAGGCGAGAGCTCTCGGTATTGGCTGCCGCTTTTTTGCTCTCATTCGATTACACTATTACCTAGAAATTTTTTATTTTTAAATTTGGCATCTCCATTGCTATCGGCACGCCCCCTTTTTCTCTGTGGCGCGAGTTCTGGGACACCCTGTATATATCCGGGGGCCCCGTATCATTAATACGGCTGATACCGCGGTAGCTACGCCCCTGCTAATAGTTAATAATTACCAAAATTAGTAAAATTAAACTACTAACTAAAAAAAAATCTCGCTGATCTGATTTTGGTTGCAGCCCTGCTTTATTTTTATAAAACGCATATGTTCTGTGATAAAACCTATAGATGCTTATTAAATTAATTAATGATTTACAAATTTGTTAACTCTTATAGTATTTTAAAGAAGGTCTATATTTTTTAAAATTATTTCTTTTAGGCTCCATTATCACACAAAACTCACAACCTATAAGTTTAAATATAAAGCTTTATTGAGACTAACTTTTTTATGCAGGTACTGCAAAACCATCACTTTTTTAACCAGTTTATTGATTAATAAACTGGTTACTTTTTGGTAAAATATAACTTGTTGATTAAAAAAATATATCCAAATTAACCAAAGCTATGGTTATTTTACAAAAAAAGTAATATCAAAAGTCAAACTAAACCAAAATGCCTAAAAAAATAACTAGTCTTAACCATTTCAAAAGGTTAAAATTAGAAGTTAATATAACGTTATGTAACTTCTAAAATTACCTATCATTTAACTTATAAGTAATATTACTAACTGGTTATTTAAATAATAATTATAGTCAATTTAAACTCTAATTTTTCTATGGGTAAATTTGAAAAACAAGTTATTTTACTCAGATTTTGGTTAATTTACTTAGTTATTTAACCAGTTGTGCTACTTGAGTTACCTTTCTCCGAGTACTTTTGATCAATTAGACTTGACTTTGCGATTTTTTTGCTGTACTCGTCCTCGTACTGGGCCATTGGATATTTTTTTAGCTGCTCGTACATGTAAAACTTGATAAGTTTTATGGTTTTACTGAAATGATCAACGAAGATTTTAACGGGTTCGTTCGATACTTTAGAAATACTTGCGGCCAAAAGATGACGAAAATTTTTTCGAAAATCACCTTGAAAGTCATCAAGATCATAACTTGGACAAAAAGTGACATCAAGCATGGAATTGGGTCACATTTGTCGATTCTCAAATGTTCAAAACCACTATCTTTAGGTATATTGGAGTTAAAATTCTAAAAAAGGACAATACACAAAGTGGAATATTTTGAAAAATAATGGCAGTGTCACTCACCTTGAGAAATGCTGTATGGATCAATGGCAAAAAATTGTTGCACAAATCCAAAGAAAACGTCATAAAAAGCAATAGCTTGTCGTAATTGTCCTGCCTCCTTGGGCATATAACTTGGGCAACCCAGCTCACCAAGTTGCCAACGAAAAAAGAAAACCCAATAGTGAAAACAGCTTGAATGTACGAATTACATTCGGAAAGAAAAACGTCCGTGTTGAAAATCTACATTTAAAATAAACAAATCTGGTATAACGTCAGTGTTTTTTAATAGGTGACAAGTTTTTTCGGATTTTTTGTTCGTTGGACATTACCTAACAATAAGAGCCGCCACTGATAAAGAAGGAAGGAAAACGCGTTACTTACGTTTTACTTGAAGTTTTCCAATAAATTTTTAAATTAGAATTTAATTTTTTTATCTGGTTGTAATGTCTGACGAATAACAAACCAGATTTGTCATTTATTAAAACCATGAAAGGTATAGCACTTAGGGTTGGGACAGTTGACATTTTCAAATGAAAATTTCAACTTTGAAAGTTTCAAACTTGAAATATTTCACTTGGTTGGTAAACTGAAATTTTTAAAAATTTCAAATGAAATTTTCAATCCGAAAATTTCAACATTGCCTGTGAAAGTTTCAGAAATTTCATTGAAAGTTTCGCAATTTACTGAAAATTTCGCATAAATTTCACATGCGGCCTCCCCTGGGACCTTTAATAATAATTTACAACAGATTCCGAATCGACCAATAAGAACGAGTTATCAAGCGTCTGGGCGTTTTTGTTTAGTTCGGCTTGGATTTGAATACACTATAAGTAATTATTGTAACTTATATGCATAAATTAATTTAAATAATTTAATTCAGTTACCAATTCAATTTGTAAATTAAATCAGACTTTTTTTTTAAGTCATGGTTAATTTAAACTTTTACTTTTGCTATAATTGCATCGGAAAACGGATAAAAAATGCCTTTAGCTCATAAAATTTTGATGAAGTTTCTTCAATTTTCGTAAAATTTCAATAAAATATATGAAAATAATAAATATATATAAATATAAAACAATGAAAGTGGCACAATCTCATTAGCTTACCAAAAAGTGCTATATCTCTCTTAGTTTTAGTAATTTTAAAAATATTTTAAATAGAAATCTCAAGAAATTTGTGGTAAACATAGGTATTTACTATTTATATTATTGGAGGTCAGGGGCCCACAGAGGGGTAGGAGGTAAGAGAGGCAATTTGCCATGGTCCCCGAGTGGGCTTATTTCAATATTAATATATTACACTTAAAGTGATTGAAATTTATTGAAAGTTTCAATAAATTTCATAAATTTCATGAAATTTCAGAAATTTCAGAAATTTAGTAAATTTTCCCAACCCTAATAGCACTTCAAAAACCTTCACCAAATACAGGATGTTATGATATTAATGTAATATATTATATGTATATATGTAATATATATATTAAAATACTGAATACCTTTTGACCAGTGGCGGCTGGTAGATTTTGGGCACAGCCATATCTCAGTTATTAGACATGGCACCCACATCAAATTTATATGAGTTTATAATGACATTATATAGACAAGTTCTGCGCAAGCAGAATTTAAATTGAAGTTTGCGAAAGAAAGTTAGTTTTTAAGTGTGCCCCCCAGCCTCCTGCCCCCCCAAATTAAGATAATTCAAATTAAAGTGGTACAATATTTAATTCACTGAAGTTTATCGACAAATTTCAAATTTTATTAATAAATTTCAAGAATTACAGGTTTAATACCATTTTAAATTTTTAATATTTCATTTACTAAATTTAAAAAAAATAGAAATGGTATAAAATGTGTAATACTTGAATTTTTTTAATAAAATTTCAAATTTGTCGATAAACTTCAATGAATTAAATATTGTACCACTTTAATTTGAGTTATCTTAATTTGGGGGGCACACTTAAAAACTAACTTTTTTTCGCAAACTTCAATTTGAATGCTGCTTGGGCAGAACTTGTCTATATAATGTCATTATAAACTCATATAAATTTGATGTGGGTCCCATGTCTAATAACTGAGATATGGGTGTGCCCAAAATCCACCAGCCGCCACTGCTTTTGACATAAGGTCCCTATTGTAAATGACCAATAGAATCCAATAAAAAATAAGTAATTGGTTTGAATTGGTTTGAAATGTGTTTTGGCGCTATGAATCATCAATTCATTCCAGTTCCCTGTTGAAAATGACCAGTAGAAACATATAGAATCCGTACATGGTTTCTATATGTTTTTATAGTTTGTTATATGGCACTATGGATTCAATATGTAATCAGTATTATGAACTGTATGTGTTTATATGGTTTTATATGACAGAAATTTATATGAAAATCCATCTTAAATCATATATGAATGAATATGAATTTATAGGTAATAAATTGTATATGGTCAGTTTTTTATATGCCTGTGTAGAAATGAATATGAATATGGTCTTATATGTAATGTCTGTTTCAAAAATCATATAGTATCATATTGGAACCAGCAGGGATTTTTCATATATGATTTTATATGTCATTTACAACAGGGTTGCATTCCTATTGGTAAGTTCCAATGAAGTCAGCGGCTTGGATTGGAAAATACCAATACATGCCTATGCTTGTCTCTATTGGCTAAATCCAATAGAAATGCACATGAAATGAATTGGAAATTCATAGCGCCAAACCCATTTCAACCAATTTAAACCAATTAATATTTTTAAATTTGGATTAGAAAATACCTACCAGTTTATTTTTCATTCAAAAATAATTTTAGATCCCAGAAGGATAAAAACCAGAATTCATTTTTCACAGAAGAGACAAAAAATTTATTGTTACTGAGTTATTTTATTTCTTTATTATTTTTTTGTGATATGTATGTATTGATGCATATAACTTACTAACACAAAAAAAGTAATAAGAAATAAATAAAATTACTCGGTGAAATCATTTTTTTTGTCTTTCTTGCAAAGGATGTTTGTAGGCATGGTCGAAGTCGATATTGTTTATGTCAATTTTTTTTATTTTGTCCGCTGTGACAACCATTCTTACGCCATCGTCCCTAAACCTTACACATGTGTATGCATATAAACATTTTTTTACACAGTAAAAAAAATCAATTCTAAGCAACACTAATTAGAGTTCACACAGGTCCACACTAAAGAGTTTTATAACACTACAATTAGAGTTAATTTGTAGTGTAATTTTCCCCAAGTAAGCAAGTATGATTTAACACTATAGCACTGAGAATAAGGTAATTTTACACTGTATTAAAAAGTGTTAATTTACCTAAAATCGTACAATTCCTGGGTAAAATCCCACTTTTGTTCAGTGTAAATCATTTTGTCACTATTTAAAACATTAAGGGGTAATAAACACTTGCATTAATTTTTTCTACCCTTTTGATTTATTTTAATAATAAATAGTGTGAATGTACCAATGAATAATGTTCATATTCTTTAAATGTGTTTAATAAAGTTAATAACGAGGGGTCAACCACTGTCGGCAATACGTGCACAAATTTTATGCAGTACAAAGGCAGTGACGGCAATACTTCGACAGTATCGGCAGTATGCAGCTATAAATAGGCAATATAGGCAGTACGGGAGCAGTACTTCGGCAGTACATGCAGTACTTCGGCAGTACATGGGCAGTATCGGCAGTAATTCGGTAATATTTAGCATTTAAGTTTCACCTAACGTACTCTCTGAAAATGAATCAGTCAAAAATAACTAATTATAAGTTATATTTGACAAATTGTCATAGCGAAAAAGCAGTCACTAATAATTAGTCAAATTATACTTAATAAAATAGTCAAATTAGTAGATTTAAATTTAAAAAAGTTTTGACCCAGCCGGGTACCCAGACCGCAAAATCACATTACCTGCACATGTCAGGAATATTCCCAGGAATATTCCAAGCGTCCCAGAATATTCCCAGGAATATTCCTGGCATAATCAAATGTCCGCTTATTGGTTAACCCAGGCTTCATAAAAAGAAAATTCCATATATCTGCCTGCAGAAGGATTGTTATGGGAATATTCCTTGATATAATTTGGGGATAATTCCCAGTCCTTATTGCCTCTTACACCCAGGAACTCAACTTAAGTATAGCCATTATTGAGTTACTGAGTAGATCAGTCCCACCCTAATCATTTTTTGGCTGTGCCATCACATACGCACATCTCCAACTGATATTATTAACCTATCGGTATATATAGTTATCAAGCGTGCGTAAGCAACGGTGAGAGGTATTGCAACTAAACTAATGAATATTCACTGGGAATGTTCTTAGATTATACTTGGAAGTTTTAGAGGATCATTCTAGGAATATTCCCAATGAATATTCCTAGAAAGAAGCGGATTATTCCTAGGCGATAGGGAATATTCCTGGAATATTTTCGAACCTTCATTGCAGTCTGGGTATTGAACTCAGGCCTGTCACTTGTCAAGCTTCTCAAGTTGTTGTCATAACCAATGTGGCTATCAGCCGCTCTTATAAAAATTAATTTTATTTTTCAATAAATATAGTTTATAATGAATATATTATTTGTGTTGCTGTTTTGAGCTAAACTTTTTGCATCATTGTTTGTTTTTAGGGGCCATTTAACCATGGAGCCTATAGGCATGCATTTAATTCAAATAATACTTTGTTGGCCGCAAACGATTAAAGAAATTAGTTACTTTTAACTCTCAGAAATAGTCAAAGATGGTGACTAACCTTAAATTAGTCAAACTTTACGTAGTAAAAGTGAAAACGACTATTTTATTAGTAAAAAATGCTGGTACTAATTCAAATAGTAGAATTTTAAGAGAGAACGTTCTGGTATCTTCCGATGCTCGTTCCGAGGTATCTCAGTTTTAATTTTGCAAACTTATTTGTGTGTTTGTGCTTATTAGTTTAACTGTGTGTGGTTGTTTGGTAAGTATTGTAAACAATTAGAATATTTAAAGTTATTATATATTTAAAGTTATTATATATTCTAATTGTTTACAATACTTAAATTAAATTCTTAAAATTCGGATGTTTTTTTTATAAACATACATTCAAAATTCACAAGTAAAGACATAATATACATAATATAATATATAATAATATAAAATATATATATTTTATATTATTATATATTATATTATGTATATTATAATAATATATTATATGTAAAACTATGGAACGTGTGTGGGTAAAGGCAATGTTGAAAGTAACTAGGCAGTAAGTAGGCATGCCTACTGCAGTAAAGGCAATATAAGCAATATAAGCAGTATAGGCAGTAAGTAGGCAGTAATTGGCAGTATAGGCAGTTCGGCAATACGTGTACAAATATCTGGCTAGTGGTTGACCCCTCGGTTAATAAGCACTAAATGCTACCTAGTGTATTTTGTAGTGTAACTCTTAAACTTACAAATCAACTCTAATATTTTTACCCCTACACTAAAAAATTTACACGGGCAAAATTTTTTACTGTGTAAGATATAAGTACACTAATATCACTAGGCACTTAACCACAGAAATCGACTAATAAAAAAACCGCTAATAAATGTCGTCCAAAGACTTGTTTGTGTTGTTTTTTGTTTATGATGGCGTCTCAACCTCGTTGGTTTTGCGCAGCTACACGAGAGCCCTTTTGCGATTTTTGTATTGAATTGGGAATAACCAATTAGCAGATTTTTCGAATCTTACACTGGGAATTCAATTAAAATTACCTATAGGTAGCTTTATCCAATCGAAACCGCTAAAAACAGTAGAATCCTAATTGGATTTTTCCATATTTTAAAGTATTGGGAATAACCAATTAGCAGATTCCTTTTTCGAATCTTACACTGGAAATGCCCAATGGAATTTAATTGGAAATTACCCATGGGTAGCTTTATCCAATCGAAACCAATAAAAAACATTAGAATCCTAATTGGACTTTTCCATCATGGAAAATACCAGTAAAAACCAATTTCTGTTTTATATCGCGCCCAATTAAATCCAGTAAGTCCAATTCAGACCCATTAATGGGTCTATGGGTGTATCAATTGATACCAACCAATACTTCAATTGGTTTCTACAGGAATTAATCGGTCATTTACAAAAGGGGTGTAAAGGAAAAATATTTAAAAAATATTTTCTCAAAGATAAAGAAAAAATATGCATATATATTTTAGTCTTTAGAATTCAGAAACAAAGTTTCAGGTGCTTCTTTATGGACCCTAGGGAAGTACCTACCCATTTTAATATATTACATTAATAACATAACATTGTCTGGTTTCTGTTTAAACATTTCTGTGGGTAAAAGGCATAAGGGGATAAGTCAAAAAAAGCAATTTTTCAATACTTAGAGTCTTTAACGTGTTCGCATTAATTCAGGAAATATATTTATAGTTAGCGGGTATACGCTTTTGTTAGCATAGGACATGGGCTAACAAAAGGGTATACCCGCTAACCATAAATATGTTTCCTGAATTAATGCGAATACGTTTAAGGCTCTACTGAAAAATTGCTTTTTTTACTTATCCCCTTATGCCTTTTACCCACAGATTTTGTAGTGTTCTTGTGTCAAATAGTTACACAATTCTTGAAAAAATATTTTGACAATTTGCAGATGTTTGCAATTTTAAATTAATATGTCAAAAATTATTGATTATACATACATTTAATAACCGTCTTATCCATATAACGAATATCAGTTTTACGTATATAAAAGTGATAATAAATCCAAACTAAAAAAAATCTTATAAGTATTACTCTCTAAAAATGAATTAGTCAAAAATGACTGACTTAGTGGCTGCTTTTTCACAAAAAGTAGAACAGTTTTTGAGATATAGTCATTTTTCCATTTAATATGGAATTGACTATATCTCAAAAACTGCTCCACTTTCATAATTTTTGACGGTATTTTCGGATTCAGGGGACAATTTTACACAAGAATTGGATGTTAAATTTTGGGATACCATGGTATTCCATGGTTAACCATGGTACAAGTGAAAAAGCAATTCTTTTTTAGAGAGTAGACAAGGTATCCAAAAATTATGAGCAACAATAGTACAGTGACCGACAAAAGTATGGAACAAATTCATTAAAAAATGTGACTTTTCCCCCCAAAAAATTCCTTGAACACTTCGATTTAAAATTTTCATATTTGCCGTTATTTTTTTAATAGTGCCCCCTTTGTTTTGCAGATTCGAATATGTGATGAAATTCTGAATTCAACAAGATGCACATATATGTATACCTTTTGGGATGATAGTTTTAAATTTAATAGTTCCTGATTTAAAAATTATTATTTCCAAAAAATATTTTTTATCTTCATGAAAATTATTTTGAAAATGCTTTTAACGGATACATTAACCAATTAAATGTTCGAATTCCTCGTCGTTGGTTTCTTGACAGTAAGAAAGCCTATCCGAAAATTTTCTAAGAACGTTTCATAATACATTCAAATTTCCAAAAAAGGAGGGGGTACAATTTTAAAAAAATAATGGCGTAATTGAAAAACAAAATAGACCTGTTCAAGGAAAACATTATTTTATCTTAAACTGTTTTAGAAATAATATTAATAAAAAATCTTTAGGCGGACACTGTATATACTTAAAATTTAATTCCTAAACCTAGAATAAATTGTTCTTAAAATCCATATTATGTATTTTTTTTATAAATATTTCTTGTTAAATAAATTAAATTTTTTAATTGGTTATTTTATTTTTATTCGAAAATGCACACTATTTGCGGGACACCCTGTACACTAGAAAGAAAAGTTAAATCATCACAATTTTAGGACACCCTGTATGGATTAAAGTTAATAAATATAAATATTAAAATATGTACGATTAATGTAAACGCTGTTGCTCCAAAAAATATTCGCAAATATTTCTTTTTTTTCGGCATTTCATATTCCACTATCTCATCATCCACGTAAATCTTTTGCGCCTTTTCTTGAAATTGAACCCTTGAAATAAAAAATTAATTAAATTTAATTAATTATTAATGGAAAAACACTAAATCGTAAATATAAAAAAAAAGAATAAATATTTTGTTTTATATCTTATATTTGACCTTTCAATAGTTTCCATTGGTTCGGGCTTATGCAGATTCCAACGAGTTCTTAGGATGTATTCCTTGCGCTTCCACATGTGCACAATAACAAAACCTTAAAAATAAATATAATATAATATTATATATAATATATAACATAATATTATATAAATAAAGCCCCTGTATATTTTTGACGATTGGAAGCCTAGACAAAATCAGGATTGGAATTTCAGCCTTTTTAACAGATACGTGCCATGCAACGTCATTAGCTCGTTGCAGTTCTTAAAGGCGGTGCAAATGTGAATAGATCGTGTTTACAGAGCTGCAAAATGTTCAGTGTAGCCGTGAAATTGCAGCGTATACGCTGTATACTTATGTTATTGAGTTTATTGTTTTTTATTGTTAATTGAAAAATGGATGGTAAAACACATTGGACAACTAGTGGTGTGGATAATTTAGTGCATCTATCCTAAAAGGTCAAACTGCATGGGGATTTCAAACAAAATGTTGGAAATTAAGAAAAATAAATATATATGTATATATAATAAATTCACGGAAAGGTAGCTAAAAACATCAGGGTTATTAAAAAGGTAGCTTTGAAAAAATAAGTGTTTAGTAGTAAAAACTAAATACCAAAGTATTTGTTAATTTTATTGTTGATACTGCAACACTGCTTTTTTAACAGGTCACGAGCCGCCACTGATGCATATACTTCAAACATATGGTATGCCTATTTTATCGAAAAATATACAGGAGTAATGCTAGAATAAAAATAACTTACCCCATACGCTTACCAATATGGCAAAAAGAGGTGAAAATTCATTTTCCAAATAGGTTATGATAGTATGCTCACTGCAATACTCTTTGAGTGGTCTCATTTCGCAACCCTCGTTTTCAAAACAATTCCCACAGACTACCGTGTCAGACGTACAAACTTGTCCCCTTTAATAAGAAGAATTGAACCTTCACCTCGCCAGAGTTTTTGTTTTGAGTGCGTTCCACCAACTTGAAATACCGACCTACACTCACAGGCAAAATAATCGATCCACACAAATTTTCAATGAATTTCAATCGCAAATAACTTTTTTATTTTATGTCGGATTTAAACGAATATTAAAGAATATTGTAGATAAATTAATGGACAATCGCTCACATTTTAAAAAATTACTAAAAAATAGACGTACGTTTATAATATACAGGTTTAAACAAAAATATGTTTTTTACCATAAGTTTAAGACACTCTGTAGAGTGGCAAAACCGTATATTGTTCTAAATTAAGTTTTATTTATCAAGTCACAACTATTCTTAACAGTTTTGTTTTTGGTTCACCTCGATATATTTATTTTTGTGAAAAATATGGATTTTATAAAAAAAACATTGCAATTTCCAATATTTTTCTTTATGAAGAACTAAGGTTGCTATGGTTCATCCATAGGCTATGGAGAATGACAGTGACAGTTTTGTTGAATCATCCCATACTTGGACATGTCATACACGGCTTTCAAAAGCTATCAAATTGTTTTTTAAAAATTAATATTTAAATTAATTTTTAAATTTTAAATGTTAAAATTAATTTAAGACACCTCAAAATTTTGAGGTGTCTTAAGAATTCTTACTTTAAAAAATGGATATATCTCCGAATGATGTTGCCAGAGCCATTAATTTAATCCAGGATGGACGGTCACAGTATTACGTGGCAAGTGTTTTAAACGTCACAAGAAGTAAAGTACAAAGGGCAACATCAGTCGGAGACATTTTTAAAAGTAAGAAGACACCTCAAAATTAACACCTTAATTAAAAAAAACAATTTGATAGCTTTTGAAAGCTCTATATGACATGTCTAAGTATGGGATGATTCAACAAAACTGTCACTGTCATCCTCCATAGGCTATGGATGGACCATAGCAACCTTAGTTCTTCATACAGGAAAAATATTGGAAATTGCAATGTTTTTTTAAAAAAATCCATATTTTCCACAAAAATAAATATATCAAGGTGAACCAAAACTGTTAAAAATAGATGTGACTTAATAATTAAAACTTAATTTAGAACAATATACGGTTTTGCCACTCTACAGAGTGTCTTAAACTTATGGTAAAAAACATCTTTTTGTTTAAACCTGTATATTATAAAAGTAGGTACGTGTATTTTTTAGTAATTTTTAAAATGTGAGCGATGAATCCAAAAACAAGTAAAAAAGTTATTTGCGATTGAAATTCATCGAAAATTTGTGTGGATCGATTATTTTGCCTGTGAGTGTATACTGGTTCTTATCAATTCGAGCAATTTGGTGTGGTGGAACACATTCAAAGGAAAAGACTACCTGAGCTTATATACCGCCCACGTAGGCCAACCGAGGCGAGATGCAATTATTTTACCCATTTTATAGGTAGATAAGTAACTTACAAATGTTTGGAGTGTCTTAGCTGCAATCTAATAATGCCGTAAATGGTCGTAAAAACTCCCAAAAGAGCTGCCGGCATTATCATTAGGTTGTAATGGGCGGTCCAAGCGAAATGGAAAGCCACCTCTGTTCCAAAGTATTTGTGTATCAAATCCAAGGGTTGCTCTTTGTGCCAAACGCGATAGCTGGCCCAGTATTTTGCTAGAAGCTTTGCAATGTTGTTTAATTAGGTGCTTCATTTATTAAATAAAATAAGACCCACATAAAAATACGAAGGGGATCACACAGCAAACGGAAAAATAGTGTATGAAAAGTGTATGGTATGACTCCCCGTTTGAATACTAAATCTTAAAGTTTTTTTAGAAATTTATTGAATCGTGCTTTGCTTTTTTTTTCGCCTCTATACCTATGCACGACTATAGTTAAAGTCAAACTCAATGGTGTTTTACAAGATACATTATTTTGATTTTCCATATTCAACAGAGAAGTAGAAACTCGACCCTGTCGAATGGAGCAGTCACTTATGTCTCTAGAAATTATTGCAAAAGGGGGCAGTCCAATGGTGCAGCTACTTCGGATTCTTATTCTCTTCAGAGACATGGCAACTCAAGCTTTTCGAATTTTACTGGCAATGATTTTCTTTAATGTCCCCGAGAATTATAAAAAACAGCGCAATGCAATATCGCAAGTTATAACTGGAGTCTTTCTAATACTGTTCTAGTCAATATTTCTGAGAGCATAAAAAGAGGGTGTAATTCAATATTGCAAGAAGTTTTGTTCTTTTGATGGATGAAAGTATTTTGAATATTCTCATTTCTGCATATGATTTTGTTGAAAACAGTTCCTTTCTTTGGTTCCTTTGTCTGATTTTTATTTACCGTAATAACTCGGGTATGTGAAGAACAGAGGATAAGATGTAAAGTATATTTATATAAAGTACCTATATTTTTATTAAACATTTCAGAGGTTATGTTGAAAAAACTATCCATATCCTATTAAACTTTAATAATTTAGTAATGAGGTCTGTTGGTAGACCCTGCACTATCTCCACTGGTATATGTTAGTACAGCAGTATTTAAATTTGGTTGACCAAAGAGTACACACCAGTGCAGGTTATTCTAGCATCTACGAACAAATGAATTAATGGCCCATTGGCAATTATTCCTATAGGAAAAATATTCAACAAAGCTTAATTAATTAATAAAATGAAAAAAATCACAATCATGTCGTATGTAATTTTTGTTTTCAAGCAAAAAATAATTTTCATATTGATACTAGTTCAAAAGTCAGTTTTCTAATCAAACGGGGAAGAGTGGATGTGTAGTTAATTACTATCAGGGTACCTGTTCTCCAAAGGGTTAATAGAAACATTAAATAATTCCTCAAAAGGCAATCTCTCAACGGTGAACACAGGGGTGAGGTCCGTGCGGACACGGAAGTAATAGAGTGACAGGGTACAGGTCAAGGAATCACCTATTTAAAGAAAAAACGAGCCTAACCAAGAGTGGAAGGGATCATCACCTGCAGATTCTGATAAGTATTATTGCATGACCTAATACGCAAATCTGTAACAAAAACCTGGCAACAATTGAGGAGCATCCGTGCAAAACCGGCTAAATCCATTTTATTCAGTTTTTGTTTTTTTTTTATTTCGCATCTTTGGGTTCAGTTCTATTGACAACCAAAATAATTCTGTTTAAACTATCCATGTTAAAATCACATTTAAAAGGTAGCTTTAGGAGCAAAACCGGCCAAATCCACGTTTTTATAGCAAACCCGGCTATATCCAATAAATAATAATATGTGGCTTGGATATGTCGATACTACTACTAAAATTTGTTCTGTTTTTTCATGTTTGCACTAAATTTATTTTGTTAATATTTTTGAATAATAAAGGATTTTTTTCACATTTTATTCGTTTTTTATTTGGTTTTCGAGCAAAACCGGCTATATACAAAACATTTTTTGAAATTTTGGCCTTAATATAAAGTTTTTGAAAACGAAAGTATGTCTTATAAATCAAATACCACAAAGCCCACAAAACTCAAGTTTGCTTGTTCTTTTATCTGTAAAGGCCAGGAAACCGAGAGTTTTTGCCATTTTCCCAACATTTTATTAAAGTGGATATAGCCGGTTTTGGACGGATGCTCCTCAATTAATCATTACCGAAAACAGCGTAAAGAGTGTAAAAAGGAGTGTAAAAAAAAAACATCAAGTAAGAACGTCACAATATTATATTATTGTATTATATATATATATATATATATATATATATATATATATATTATATAATATACACATAAACTTACAGCCCAGCCACAAATCAAAGCTTTAAAAGATAACGAAAGTAAATAAACAGTCTCCTAATAAACAAAACGACCACGTAAAAATCTAACGTAAATAAACCATCTATTAAAGCATACGTTACACGCCTGCCATTAGGGCCGTATTTCAAATTTTAATACGATACACCACAGGGCCGGCTTTATCTATTTTGTATATTAATATTTATATTTTTAAATTAAATTTGGAAAAAAGTAAGAATGCAAAGATATAAATTAATTAATAATAAACGCTAAAAATGGGGTTATTACTAAGACCCAGGTTGAGGAGGATTCCGGATTGTACTTAGTTTTGGGTCAGTATCCCGCACTCCTCTAGCCTAAATTGGACGTATGGTCCGACCCGGCTGACAAAAATCCGGGAGTGGCCTTAACCATAGACACTGTCATCCACGATCTACCAGCCGGCGTAAAAACTTCGGATCCAACAAACACAGGTAATGCTGTGACGGAAAGGGGGTAAAATAACCCTGGGAGATTAGTGTAAGATAATGTCGATGGGGCCTGCCATACGTTTCCATACTCATACTCATACTCAATACTAGTTCAAAAGTCAAATTACGACCTCTATACCGTGGAGAGATTTAGAAAACTATATTCAAACGTGGCGTCATCCCATACACTTATATAATTTTCCGTTTGCTGTGCATCCTGTACGTACTACTTCGAAAGTTTTTGATGCCATAATCTCAAATCCAACTCAATCATTTTTTTTCTCGTCAAAAACCTTTGGTTTCAGTTTCAAAAAAACTAGTGGATCAAACAGAACCCGAGACATAGACATGCCCATACAAATAATTGTTAATGGGCATGTCTATGGTGTGGTGTGACCCCATTTGACAGATCCCTTTATTCATAATATAATAGTGGTGGTAAGATAATAAGGTTTCGTACGGTTCTATCATTCAGTAGAGCATCATTGTGCCAATACTCGTACTGAATGGTTCCTGTGTGAAGAGCATAGTAATCTTGCACCACTCCAAGTGACACCAACTTCTGTATTCCCTTTTTGTCCTCACCTACGCCGAATTGTGTTTGTTTTAGCAGCAACTCGATTATTTTTATTTTTATGTACGACAGTTCGCTGGCTCTGAAATATTAGAAATAAAGTCTTTTGTTTGGTTTGGTTTGGAATAAAAATCATAATTTATAAAAAAATATGCTTTTATTTAAATTTTGCGTTGCAAATACTTTTCGAACTGACCAATTTTTTTTACTCGCAAAGTTTCTAAATATTTTTTTTTTATTTGTTTCACTGGTTTGTCGAGGAAACACCTCGCAACAATAGGTGCCGAAACCTATGATGTCATTGGTCGTTTTTTTTAATTGTTTTTTGCAGATTCGGATAGATTATGAAATTCTGAATTCAGCAATATGCACATGCATACCCTTGTGGAAATTTTTCTTTAAGAAAGTTTTAATAGGAGTTTTGTCCTACTTTCTCTGAATAAGACTTATTAAGTCGGAAAAAGTCTTAGTAAGTCAGACTAATAGTAAGATTTGGAAGTCTTCTGGAAGAGTTAATAAGACTTTTAGCAGAGAAATGGTAGGTACCTATAGCGATTAAAATAAATATCCGGAATTATTCAGAGATGTTGTATTTGGTTATTGCAAAAGAAAGCACAATGAAAAGTATTTATAAACACTGTTTTTGTGTTGTTATAAGGCTTATAAAAACACGGAAGCAATGTTTACAATATAGCTAAACAAACTTTATTTTAATTGAACAGAATGAAACAGTTGGGATATACGTTTGGTTTGTGTACATACAGAATCTGTGATTCATTTCCGCAAATTTTTGTTTTCTTCGGTGCTCAGGCAAAATATTAATCTGCATATAGAAAAAAAAAATTCTCAACAAGTTTGAGCTCTTAATATAAATTTTAAGTACTTACTATTTAAATTTAAAGTTTTACCGTTTAAAATGCATGTAAAAAATATATATTTTTTTTCAAATTTCTAATGCTTACCCACCTTTGACAATATTGCAAATCGGTTTAATACACCTTATGGGGAATTTCACGCTCTTTAAAATTGCTTTTGAGTTTTTTTTTGTAACTCTCATTGGTTCACCAGTAGGAGTCGTCAAAGGACAGGTTTTGAAAAAAATCGTTTTTTTATTTAAATTTTTTCTAACAAACCGCAAAAAGTAGGGAGAAAAAAGGGCTGAATCATAAAAAAGTTATCCAACCAATATTTAATGAATTTACAGCCATTTTTATAACTGAAAACGTAAGAAATTGATAATTACCAACTCATAATGTTATTTAGATTGATTTTTTCTATTTATTATCATTATATTTCCCTACACTAAGAAGTTTTTTAAAATTATTGATTTCTCACTTATAATGAATATGAAAACAACAGATAAATTCATAAAAAAAACAATAAGAAAATTGTAACGTGGATTTTGCAATTTTTCAACATTTCTGTCATATAGCAAAAAAATATAAATGAAGATTATTTAATTTTTTGAAGCGAAATTTGAAATATGTTACATAACCTTCTGTATATTCCGATTAAAGTTTTGTTGTTTTTTTAAGAATTTATGTGTTGTTTTCATATTCATTATGAGTGAGAAATCATAATAATTTTAAAAAAGTTCTTAGTGTAGGGAAATATAATGATAATAAATAGAAAAAATCAATCTAAATAACATTATGGGTTGGTATTTATCAATTTCTTACGTTTTCAGTTATAAAAATGGCAGTAAATTCATTAAATATTGGTTGGATAACTTTTTTTTTATGAATCAGCCCTTTTTTCTCACTACTTTTGGCGATTTGCTCGAAAAAATAAAAAAAACGATTTTTTTCAAAAACTGTCCTTTGACGACTCCTACTGGTGAACCAATGCGAGTTACAAAAAAAAACTCAAAAGCAATTTTAAAGAGCGTGAAATTCCCCATAAGGTGTATTAAACCGATTTGCAATATTGTCAAAGGTGGGTAAGCATTAGAAATTTGAAAAAAAAATATATTTTTAACATGCCTTTTAAACGGTAAAACTTTAAATTTAAATAGTAAGTGCTTAAAATTAATATTAAGAGCTCAAACTTGGTGAGAATATTTTTTCCTATATGCATATTAATATTTTGCTTGGGCACCGAAAAAAAAACAAAAACTTTGCGGAAATGAATCACCCTAATACAGATCCCTTGTTGATTAAGTACATAAGGTATAATAACTAACAATTCTTCGCAACGCATAGGCGTGTTATGGTCGACAGTCGAACTCATACACAGATTATAAAACAAATATGGTTGATCTTTCATTGCTTCATGTGTTTATACAGTGTTGCCGGATGAATGTCATAAAAGTTCCCGACCAAAAATTTCAAAATAATAAAAAAACTAGTTATATTTTAAATTTACTAGCGCATTCGCACTGTTTTAAAAAAAATAATTAAATTAATTTAAAATTTGTTTATAACTAAATAAAAATGTGACAGGATGTCATATATAGAATAAAATAATTATGCATTTTCAGTAAACATACAATATAGGTAATTATTTACTGAAAATTTCTTCAGTTGGTATTTTGATCGAAATTTGCAGAATATCCGATTTTACCCGCTTCAAAATTCTACCCGCAAAACATGACGAAAATACCCGATTTCCGAGTAAAATACCCGCAAACGGGAACACTTGGTAAGTAGTGACAGGAGAGCTACCTTGAAAACGCGGGAAAATGCCATCACATGACAGATCAGCTGTGCTCTAATTGGTCAGCTGAGAAAATCGATATTGTGCCTAAAAAGTGTTTGGAACAATGGTTAGATGAATATTTGCGTATAAAAAGAAACTATTAAAATAAAACGTACAGTGGCAACAATAAAAGCAAGTCAAGCGCATCGTATGTACCTCACATATTATGTTATTATATAGGTAATTATGCAATAAACTTGGCTTATTACCACCCCGGTAAAATTTTAATAAATACTTTTCTTTGTGTTATGTATTATATTAATTAAATACAACCTCTCTGAATAATTCCGGATATTTATTTTAATCGCTATAGTTAGGTTCCTACCATTTCTCTGCTAAAAGTCTTATAAAGTCTTATTAACTCTTCTAGAAGACTCCCAAATCTTGCTATTAGTCTGACTCATTCTAACTTTTATTTTTATTATTCAGATTTTTAAGAGAAAGTAAGACTTTAAAAACTCTTATTTTTACTTATTAAAGTTTTTCAGAGAAAAATTTCCTCAAGGGGACCTTTGGGGATGATAGTTTTGGGTATTATTAAGTTTAAAAGTTCCTGATTTAAAAATTTTATTTCCAAAAAAAGCTAGAATAGAAGGAATAGAAGAGCAGTATGATTGGATGGTAAGGCAAATGATGTGTTTACTTATCACGTCATGAGCCTATATAAATGTACTATATATGTACTAGGTACCATAGTATAATAGGCCTGGAACGCCAGGCGAGTTTTAAAAAAATTGAGGTTTTGAATCTTTTATATAAATAATGATTTTTTTCCGCCGATTTTTTCTTTGCTAATTACTCTATGTCTTTGAAAACGTTTTTCCTTGTAATTGGATTTCTGAAAAAAAGACACTTTTTGAATCGCATCCCATACTCAAAATCTTCGTGGAACTCCGGAATCATTCGGTACATATTGAAATACGCTTGGGAGGTTTTATGCGCTATGTGGATCTTCACAAACATCACAGGAACTGTCTGAAAAATTTATCGTTTTAATGTTTTTTGATGCTGTAAAGTCAAATCCGTCTCCAAAATTGCTTGAGGTTTCTGGGAAATTCCAACCAAAAGTAGATATAACCTCAATATTAAATAAGATGAATTTAAAAAAACCTGATTTGATGTAGCAATTTTGAGGTCGAATTTAGATTAAGAACGTCAAAAACTGCGCATCTTGAGGTAAAGCTCCATCCTCTAAACTATTTGGTGCGGTTTTTTACTGAGATTTGTTTTCAGTTCAAATTCAAAGAGATCATCACTAATATTAAAATCAATTACAATTCCCAGATCCTGCTCAAATTCCAATCCCTTATCTTCCAGGTTCCTTATGTACTCACTGATAACGGCAAAGTTTGTATACGCCGAGGTCATATTTAGTACAAGGACGTAATGAACTTTTCTTACTTCGTCCTTGAAATAGGCGCCACCTCCCTTGCGGCCTTTTCTAATGTACTCCCACACCCTTTTATAGCTTGCCGGGTCCATGGCCACTTTTATCCACAACCAATTCTAGTCAATCTACGTTTTCGTAAGCTGTCAAATCTTTGACGCTCAACCACAGAAAAAATGTAACTATACACAAAAACCGGTATGCTGTTGCGCTATCTCTCTCTCGCACCGTGTGACGTCATGTGCGAACCAAAAGCTGGTTTGGAATGATATTTGCACTGCAAATTCACGTTATATTCGAAAATTAATAAATATACCCATTGGGCTTTTATAAGTATACTTAAAATGCTGCTTGGGTATTACCCAAGCAGCATTTTAAGTAAAAGCGTAGAGCTTTGAGGCAATATTACTTAATTTAAGTAAATATTTTGTTAAATTAACCTTAAAAATGTACTTAAGTAAATTTGAAGTAAAACTTTTTTTAAAGTTATAATATAAGTTTTATTTATGTTATTTTTACCCATTTTAATAACCCTTAAGTTTCAACACTTTAAAGTATTATGAGGGACGTAATTTTTACGAAATTACTTATAAGTGTATTTTACCTAAAGGAAAATTTAACGGTAATTTTAACGTCAGAATTTTTACTTAATGGTAAATGTTACTCATAAGTCATAATTTTACGATATTAAGACCACTTTATAACCGTAAATAATTCCTATTCGCCTGGTATTTTTTAGGGTTATTAGTGGGTAATAAATACTAATAATATTGACTAAACAAGGAAAAATAAGCTTAAAGTGAAAAATAAAACTTTGCGGGAATTTTTTTTAGGCCGCCATAATAAGTTTTTTAAGACGGCATCCATTACTTATCTAAACATTTATATAATATTTTTTCATGAATATCTTTCTAAAATATAATAAGAAAAGTTTTAGTTATTAAAAAATAATTAAAACTAAATGATTTTTAAAAGATTTTATAAAATTTTGTAGGTTTTAAGTTTTGTTGAATTTTTACCCAAGCAATAATTTTTCTTAAAACCGTAAAATATTTAGAGGGCATATAATTTTTAAGACGTATCATACCTATTTTTATCAATAAAATAATGTGCGTTTGAGTTTTAATGCAAAATATGACAATTTAAGTTATATTTTTTAATTTTACTCTAGGGTGGCCTTTATTACTTTGTAATTACTTAAGTACCTACCATTTTGTAAAATATAAATTAAAAGAACAAAGAAATTACGAATATCAATGTTTAAGAAAGAGAGAGCAAACAGTTAGTAATTATAGCGTTATTTTTACACTGAGAAAAAAATGGGACAAATAAAGTGTGTAGCTAATACTTTTATTAATAGTGAATATATTGTTTATTACCTCTAAATAGTCGAAAGAATAACGATAAATATACTTTAGTAAAACTTTATGTAGGGAATAAAAATATATTTAGGATAAATAAACTGTACCCTTGTCCCATATTTAAATATTTTTTTTATTTGGGAGCAATAAACTTTTTTCTCAGTGTACGTAAATTTGTGGTATTTATATTGTTTTTATTACGTAATTCTCTTAGTAGATCAAAAAGGTTATTATGTGGGTAAAATAGCGAAATAAACCATTCCCCAAATTTGGTAATTTTTCGTATCTATACCGTTATAAAACCGTTTTGGTTAACCGTAAAAAATACTTTAAAGTTGAATTAGTAGTAAATTTGTAGTTATCTCGGTAGTTATTTAAACTTAAAATGCTGCTTGGGTAGGGCCTGGAAGCAATTATTAATAATTAAGTGTAACAAATGTTTAGAGAAAGTTAAATTGGCAGCATATTTTCTACCTTCCTATAGGAAGGTAGAAAATATGCTGCCAATTTAACTTTCTCTAAAATAATTATATATAATTATTTTTCAAAACATTTTTTCTTTAATTGAATTAAGTTAACTAACGCTAGACCGCATTTTACAATTTTTTAATGTTGAAAGGTAACAAAATTATAAAAATGCATTTATAAAGGTAACAATAACGCACGCCCGCTTTAAGGTGTCAAAAGTTAAAAAATCTTATTTTTTGTGAAAGTATTGTAATTAACAAAATTACCAATAATAAATTTCTTATTGGTAATTTTTTATTAATATAACAGCAACGTAACATTACTATTTTTTTTTCAGCTCAACCCACTGCGCCATCCTCGGCCCCTTGTGAAACTATTGTAATGTAACAAAATTACCAATAAGCAATATAACAGCAACGTAACATTGCAATACTATTGTAATAGGTTTGTTACGTAACAGTTAAATTTATGTTACGTAAGAAACACATCATTTACATCTCGCTCGTGTTACCACCTCAGCTAGGTATATAAACGAAGTTAAGACAGCGCACCATGTCCATTTGTCATTGGACCTCAAACAGTCTGCCTGATCATGGGAAAGTCAGAATACGATATTATGTACCTATCATTTGATACGCTTTAGCGTTAAACTGACGGGACTTTCTTATGTCAAGCATAATAAAGTCGCCGTAAAGGCCATGTTATGTAACATAACTTGGATTGCGAAAAAGTAACGGCAACGTAACATTGTTACCTATTTGCAACCATCAGGTTATGTAACTGTATACTGTTACATATCACGTACTGTACGGTTACATATCACGATTGTTGCATAACATTTTAGTTAATGTTACGTTACAGTAAGGTTTCAATTTCATAACCGCAATGTTGTAACATTGTAATCCATTAAAAAGTTACATAAAAACAACATAACAATTATAATGCATTTATGTAACGACAACGTAACATTGCAGGGCTCCCAAGGCTAAATTACAAATTTTATTTAGGAATTTAGGAGTTTTTTTTGTAAAATTTTAGGAGAAATAAAGTATGGAAATGAATTTCTTTAATTAAATAAAAACATCGCTTTACTACTTAAAAAATAAAAAAAAATTAATACCTACTTCTTTTGTAACAATAAGTTATATTGACTAGTTTTTTAGCCAAATCGCTCGCCGAGTTTTTTTTTAATAAAATTAAAAGTGAGGTAAAATTACTACTTTTGTATATATCTGAGGTACATAAATATACAAGTATAAATTTCACCACACTTTTAATTTTATTTAAAAAAATGCGTTGATAGATTTAGTTAATGCCAAAATCAAATGATGTTATCTTTATATTTTAAGTAAAAAGATGTTAACCGTTTAGTTAATAACTAACAGTAATTAAATCCAATAAGTCCAAAAGTATACTAAAATTTTATAAAATTTTTGATAAAATATTTCAAAAAATCAGTTTTATAGTTCTAAATGCATTTTTGTTAGAATATTTTAACTATTTTATGAAATATAATATGCATGTTCTGTAAAATAATTTATATCTTCTAACGAAAATGTATTTTAAACTTTAAAATTGATTTTAGAAAATAAATTGTCAAAATTAAATTTTTGGACTTGTACTGTTTTTATTCTCACCGATTCAATTGTAATGTGGATCTTAATACTTAAAAATCTCATAACAAAATATGAAGTTTGCAAAATACAGCAAAACATTCTTTAGATTGTTTACTATTTTAGCTGTCATTTAAAAGAAAATTAAAAATCCTTTTGTTTGGTATATTTTTGACTAAAAAACGAAATGTCGCTAAAAATGACAATTTTGTAGAAGTTTTTATGTTGTTTTTTAAGAAAAATTTTAGTTGTGATATTTTATCATTTTAAAAAGAATTTAATAAAATAGAACCTAAATATATAAATTTTTAAATTACCTACTTTTTAAAAAAGAATTTTTTTAGCACAACCTTAATTAAACGCAGTCAGGTTGGCCTATTTAAATTTAATTTTTAGGATATTGAAGGCAATTTTAGAGAATTTTAGGAGTTTTGAAGATTTAAGCAAAATTTTAGGAATTTTATGAGTTTTAGGAGGTGTGGGAGCCCTGACATTGTTATGTAACAATGTTACTTAAAAAAGCGGGAAATAGGAACCTATTTGCAACCGTCAGGTTATGTAACTGTAATGTTACACATCACAATCGTAACATAACATTTTGGTTAATGTTACGTTACAATGTTGACCGGGTTACGTACAGGTAATTGGGCATTACAAAAAATGCCTTTACTTACCGTTTTTTATTTTCATTTTATCCTGTCCCTTGCATGCCGCTGTGCAGCCAGATCTTTATTTTTTTGGAAATCGAAAATATTTAATGTAAGGTTAAGGTTGGGTTCATATTTCTGCTGTCTGCTACAGCACAAATATAACACAAACTTAATAAATAACCTGGTATAAAACACACGTGGCGTGTACCTTGTAAATAGTTATTGCTGTTCAATAAATGCAGTAAATCTAAAACGAAAAACGTTGCAAAACCATCGTGCGTGGTTTATACACAATAATTTCGGAAAAAACTCCAAAGAAATCGTAGTAAAACACCCGTGCATAGCGTATGCCCATTGAGTATGGGTATTGGTATGCCTATGCAAAACATGCGCGGAGTTGACGAGTTTTTGTTTCATAATCCACATAACAGAAAAGTATCTTCATTTGAAGAGTTTGATAAATAAATAACAGTAGGCCGCCCCTATTGTAAATGACCAATATGATCCAATAAAAAATAAGTAATTGGTTTGAATTGGTTTGAAATGTGTTTTGGCGCTATGAATCACCAATTTATTCCTGTTGCATTCCTATTGTTAAGTTCCAATGAAGTCAGCGGCTTGGATTGGAAAATACCTATGCTTGTCTCTATTGAACAGAATTCATTTTTCACAGAAGAGTAAAAAATTTATTGTTACTTTCTAATTTTCTTTATTATTTTTTTTGTGATATATGTATGTATTGATACATATAACTTACTATCACAAAAAAAGTAATAAAAAATAAATAAAATTACTCGGTTATAATCATTTTTTTGTCTTTCTTGCAAAGGATGTTTGTAGGCATGGTCGAAGTCGATATTGTTTATGTCAATTTTTTTAAATTTTGTCCGCTGTGACAACAATTCTTACGCCATCGTCCCTAAACCTTACACATATAAACATTTTTTTAAGATATAAGTACACTACTATCACTAGGCACTTAACACATAAATCGACTAATAAAAAAACCGCTAATAAATGGCGTCCAAAGACTTGTTTGTGTTGTTTTTTCTTTATGATGGCGTCTCAACCTCGTTGGTTTTGCGCAGCCACACGAGAGCCCTTTTGCGATATTTGTATTGTATTGGGAATAACCAATTAGCAGATTTTTCGAATCTTACACTGGGAATGCCCAATTGAATTCAATTGGAAATTACCTATGGTTAGCTTTAACCAATCGAAACCACTAAAAAACAGTAGAATCCTAATTGGACTTTTCCATATTTTAAAGTATTGGGAATAACCAATTAGCAGATTCCTTTCTAGAATCTCGCACTGGGAATGCCCAATTGAATTCAATTGGAAATTACCTATGGTTAGCTTTAACCAATCGAAACCACTAAAAAACAGTAGAATCCTAATTGGACTTTTCCATATTTTAAAGTATTGGGAATAACCAATTAGCAGATTCCTTTCTAGAATCTCGCACTGGGAATGCCCAATTGAATTCAATTGGAAATTACCTATTGGTATGTTTAACCAATCGAAACCACTAAAAACAGTAGAATCCTAATCGGACTTTTCCATCATGGAAAATACCAGTAAAAACCAATTTCTGTTTTATATCGCCCCCAATTAAACCCAGTTCAATTCAGACTTATTGATACCAACCAATACTTGGTTTCTATAAGGAATTAATCGGTCATTTACAACAGGGGTATGAAAACCAATGTAACTATTAAAATTATTTTCTTAAAATCTGTGCCATATAAAAATCTGAAATTATTAGTGAATGAGTCCTGATGCCTCACAAAATCATGTATTAAGCGAGGGGTCACCCACACCTGGGAATCCCTGGACATTTTAGAGGGGGAATACCATAGGAATACAATGGAAATACATAGGAATACAATAAAATATAATGGGAATACATGGGAATCCCTGGACGTTTTCCCTTCGGGTGGTTGACCCCTCGGTATTAAGTTTTGAGACATTCTATGAAAACTCTTCCAATGGAGATACTACGTAAGTATATAGTAAGGTACCAAAAATTTTATTTTAAAACAATTTTTAAAAGAAATAAGTATGAGTGAGTATGAGTATAAGAGACGTATAACCAGCCCCTTTGCCTCATCACTCCCGGACCCCGTACAGGCCTATGTTTACTTACGCCGATTTTTGTTCCCCCCTAGCAACTGCACGGCTTCACCCGTGTTTGCAAGGTGCGAATGTCCATTGCGTTCCGTACTGTCCCCTATTTGGGTCTCGAGAGCGACATGCGAATAGTTTTAATAGCCATTCTCGGGTTCGCCGAGCCGATGCTATACGCCCAGTAGGGTATAGAGGAGGAGGGACGGGAGGGTGTTGGTTTTTAGGGGACAATTACGCCGACTTAAAACTAAGTACGACGCGGAATCCCCCTAGACCAGTCGATTAGTATTACTTAAAACATTTGGGATTACTATTTGGAGTTGGGGAGTTGTTATTTCGCTGCAGGGATGTAGTTTCCTAGTCGAGGTCTTCGTCTTGTTCGTTATTGTCATTGTCCTGCACTTGGTAAAGTGTGTCGGTTGTTTTTTTATTTTATTTTTATTGTTGCTTAGATGCTCCCAACTGGTCTGTTACTTTGTGAGAAGTGCATGTTTTGTGCTAACGTGTCATGATATGTGAAGCATGGTCTCACGACTTTTTTGTCTGTAAGGTCTAGTTTAAGGGTGGCTTGTAGTATGTTGTTGCGTTGCCTACGAGTGACGTGGGCTCAGTATTTTAATTGGGCTACTCTTACTATTTTGGTAATGGTTTTGCCCATTAGCAGGTCGCGGGGATGTTGGTGATGGTAGTCGGGTAAGTCTGTCGTTAGTAGTGTAATGATCTTCCGTACAAGTTTGCGTAAATTTTGTCCCAAGCACGTTTTGTGGTAGAGTTTTGTCTTTTTTTCTTAAATTCCAAAATTAAGTATTGCATTTATTTATTAGTTAAACAAATGACAACCGCAATTATTCTGTTATCTAATGTTTACAAATCCAGTAGAGTTTGGTTATTATGCTTTTTTTACTATGTTAGGGTTATAATGATTAATGTGTTAGTTTATTCTGTGTGTCTAGTGTTTATTTTCGGTCTCGTTTGGGTTTGAATTGTTGTTGAAAGATTTATTGCCCTACGCAGTGTGCCTTTCTTAGGGTTTTAAAGATATCTGCCGTATTTAATTTGCAGATTTTGTGTTAGGTCATGCATATTCTTAAGGTTACTTATTAATTTTTTTGCGGATGGCCACCTCCCCTCTTGTTTGACCTCCCTTGTTTGTCCAGTGAACAGCGTCCAATGACAGGTGGCACTTAACTCATTCATATCACTTAACACTTCACTCCTTATTGACCGTTACACCACTTTAGTTTGCACTCTATGAAAATTGTTTGTTTCACTATAATTGGTTTGCACTTTTTTAAAAATTATTGTTGGTTTTAATCTTTGAACTTTTACGTTTTAAGAGCATTCGAGAGCGTGGTGCCTTCTCAAGTGCTGGAACTTCAATGAAAACAATTTTTAAATGAAATAATAAAAAAATAATTATATAGTTTAAAAACGTTTATAATGATAAAAGTTGCACAATACAATGACTAAAGAATTAAATACAGGGAGAATATAAAATAAGGATACAAAAATGTTTAAAAAAAGACTACACCCACCACATATCACTTAATCATGTTATAAAAATAATTAATATATTATAATGCAAGATTGTAAATAAAATCAATAGTTAAGTATTAAAACTATAGTGGGTATTTAAACTCCACCAACAAAAACCGACGGCTGTACAATGGGTGCCCTTTCATATTCTCTAACGCTGATCTCCGGTTTAGCATAGTTGCCAGATTTCCCGCCCGATTTGCTCACCAAATGAATATCACCGATGGTGATGCTCTTGGTGACGGCCTTGCACATATCGTAAACCGTGAGAGCCGAAACGGCGGCGGCCGTCAAAGCTTCCATTTCCACCCCCGTTTTACCCTCGCACTCGACCGTCGCCTCGATCAGCACTCGCTTCAGCACGTTGTCGAGTTGCACTGTCACCTCGACGCCGGTGAGAGGGATGTTGTGGCAGAGCGGGATGATGTCGGCCGTCTTCTTCGCGGCCAATATCCCGGCCATCTGAGATACGCTCAGCACGTCGCCTTTTTTCACGTTGTTCTCCCTAATCAAGGCGGCGATTTCGTGGCCGACTCTGACGCTCGCTCTGGCGGTGGCTCTGCGAACCGTCGCGACTTTTCCCGACACGTTGACCATGCGCACTTTGCCGTCTGCGTCGACGTGGGAGAAACTTTTTTCCGCGCCGGCGCAGTAGAAGCTGACCGACTGGTGCTGTAGCGGTGTTGCCGTTAGCAAGTTTGGATGACTAGATGGGTTCGTTTTTAAAGTATGCAGTGGCCACAGGGCGTGTTTTTTGTGTGCTGGCAACCCTAGAAAGCAAAATAATTGTTGACGTGACGTTTGTAACATCATCCATAATCAAATTGAAGGGGTCATTGCAAGAAGTCACATTTTCAATAAAATTAACATTGTGGCGCTATCTAAAAGTGTTTCAATTCATCTTTCATGTGGTATTTGCAGAGTGGCAGAAATATGTTTCTAAGTGCCTTAGTTTGCATTTACTTCAATGGGAGTTTACCTGGTTTTCAATGCAAGAAGTACCTAAGTCATCATTTAGACAGATGAAATGCAACATGTGCCTTAGTCAACGTTATTTAAATTAGGTTATATCTGAGCAAATTACCTATTAAACTGTGTAAATCCTAATAATTTGTGTCTGTGATGAAAAACATAACTATGGCAGGTAAGTAAAGTAAAATAAAATATATTTTATTTATATATATATATACAGGGTGTTATGTAATTAATGTTATATATTAAAATACTGAATACCTTTTGACATAAGGAATAAAGGAAAAATATTTTAAAAAGCATTTTTCCAAAGATAAAGAAAATATATGCATTAGAAGTTTTTTATATTTTTTGTGATACGCCACTGGTTACACACTTGTTTATCTCTGCACACCTGTATTTTGTGAGTACATAGATACCAACTAACAAAGTAGCTATGCGTTGCCAGATGTAAAAAAATTTTACTAAAAATTTTACTTGCAAAAAATAAATAAAAACTCAATAAATACAAAAGTTTTATGCCCTTAAAGCTCTAATACCCTTCTGTATTTATTTACTGATCCAGCTATTAGCTTAAGCAATGATTAGAAAATTTAGTACCTTTGAAATTTGAAATCCATAACCACAAAATTAATTTATTCATCAGTTTTTTTCTCTGTTTACTCAGATGAAATTGGGACCAGTTCACAGGTTAAACTTTAAACATTTAATTTGTGTAAATAAATCCAAAAGCACTTTCCTTAGTTAAGATATTTACAATTTGAAAACATAACCTAAAATTTAAAAGAAATGCACTAGATTCTGTCATAAAAGTTGGCAGGTTTTGTTTGAATTTACCTTCAGTACAAAAATGAAATAACCAACAATTAATAAAAACGCCAAATTGACAATTTGCATTGTTAATTTTGTCATTTTTGTAATTAAGCTAAATTTAAACAATGTTTGTCAACTTTTTTGAGAGATTTTGGAAACACTGTTACCAACCATAACATAATAAATCCACCAGATTAACCTAAAGTTCCTAGTCGATCAGTGGCGTACTTTTTGGTAGGATAAAGGTTATTATAAATTATTTTTAGACTGGAATTTAGAAAAAAAAGTTTCAGGTGCTTCTTTATGGACCCTAAGGAACAACCCATTTTAATATATAACATTAATTACATAACACCCTGTATATATTGCGGAACCTTAAAACATACCAGTTACCGTTTTTTTGCTCGAACCTTGTCTGAAAATGGAAGTATAATCCAGCAAAATGATGTCATTGATAAAGAAATTGATCAGTTACAAGAGGCCGACGCTGTTTATGAATATATTAATAAAGGCTGGCTATAGCCAGCCTTTTTATTATATTATTAGTTTTGCTTTAAGTTATTTCCTATAGGAGTTATAACATAAATGTCCTAAGTTTTGTTCAAAATTTATATATTTTTTTACGGCGTTCTAATATAATACACCTTTTTTAAGTATAAACAAATTGTTCCTCAAAATATCCCTTAATTTTTGACAAAATTAAAACATTTCAACACAAAAAGTGCCCAAGTCCCAAATTATTTTATATATTTTTTTGATATAACAAAACGTTTTTTCTTTTTTAATCATGTAAGTCCAATCCACTTTTCACAAAGAATACAATACAACACACATTTTCATCATAATATTTTGTGTAATATTTCATAATCAAAAATAAACCTTCAAACCGCAATATCTCAGAATTACCTATTTGTGACTAAGGCACTTCTTGTATAGACCCCTTCAATTAAAGATGCGAGATTTTTAGCTATGACACCACTAAAGCACGATTTTACATCTAATCTATTCTATGCATGGACGCAATTCCAATTTACCTTATGCTAACTACCCTACACTAGATTAGCCACCAATAAGAATCATGGGGCGATTTTCCATTTGAGATAGATTCAACATTCCTGTAACAATTTATTAATTTTTTTCAATGTAGCCTTCATTTGTATAATTTTAAGGATTTTTTTGTAAATTTTAAAGTCAAACCATGCATTAATTCATAAAGCAGTGGAAAATATATTAGATAATAATTATTATTACAGGGTGTCTAGCAAGTCCTTCAAAAAAACTCCAGACTTTTTTTTCCTCCAGGTAAATATAACTTATTATTAAGAACTAGATTGGTATAAGTAATTAGTTACACAAGCAGATACCTACATGAAAAGTATCTAGAAACTTTATCTAGTTACTTGTAACTAGATACGTTACAACACTGCCTAATTCAATAAGGTTTATTTTTTAACAAAAGAGGAGTAAAATGGTTGTCTTAGCACTTAGGCCTCATTTAAGGCTTACAAGTGCCTCTGTGAGAAACACAACGTTTAAAACATATTAATCTGAATAGGCAGCACAAGAATTGTAAACAATATAAAAATGGCCGCCGTTAAAGTGTGTACAGTGGGTTGCCTAAAAGATAGAACAGACCTTGTTGTGTGGATTGTGGAATTATCACTTTTTTATTATATATTTGACAAATTGTAACTTTAAAATGTGTTTAGAAAATTTATATATTTATATAAATAGTCTCAAAACGTTAAAATAATAAAAACAAAATTCTCTTATTATAAGAGTCCCGAACTACTGTCAACATTTTTGTATACTTAAAAAAAACTTTTTTAAACCAATATTTTTTTGAAAAAAACATTTTTCTTTAAAATTAAATAATTTTATTTGTTTTTTCTGTTTGTAGGTAACTTAATCTGGGAAGATAAGTATTGTATAAAAACGAATCTATGAACCAAATTTTTTATAAATACAGAAAAAATCCCTGACCACTAGACACCCTGTTAGTTAATTCAAATTTACCTGCATGTTGTTTCTTCTTTCTTTTAACAGCCGCTTGAACTAATGCCACCAAATCGTCTTGTGAACATTTGCTTCTAATGGCATCTCTTAGAGAGACCTCAGTATTTCCAAACAAACATACTTTAAGATTTCCATCAGCAGTAATTCTTAATCTATTGCATGAACCACAGAAATGTTCACTCATTGATGTTATAAAACCAACTTGTCCTTTATATCCTGGAACTTTCCACGCCTAAAGAAGTCCTTTAAATTTAAATCGTAAAAACTAAGAAATGGGGTACCTTGGACGTGTCGTTTTTACCGTTTGGAAGGGGGGAAAATTCAGGCCATTTTTTATGGATAATATCCAGCATTTCCTTGTAGGATACCATTTTATCAACTTCCCACTTGTTGCCAGAAAAAGGCATATATTCTATGAACCTTACGTCAACATTTTTTTCTTTAGTCATTTCAACAAAATCAAGTATTTCGTCCTCATTAAAATCTATAAAATTGATTTATCTAGAATTAACATTTTCAATTTGTTATCTTAAAAAATTAACTTTAAAACGCAGAAACAATATAATTTATATAAAAAAACCTGTTGTAGATTTTTCTAAATTCTACTGTCAGTGACAGATACCTAACTTTAATTCTACTGAAAGTGACAGATACCTAACCTAAATAATTAATTTTGAGAAGTTTATCTGGACTGCGGCAACGTTGCAAATTTTGGGTTTTGGTTGGTAAATACTGTTGTCAAGTTGGTCGCATTGATTAAAACAAAGTAAGCTAGTTATAAAAGGAACGCCTAAATGCAGGAATGGCCTCCATCTGAATATAAGTTTTGCGTAAAATAAAACCAAATCAAACCAAACTTAACCAACCCAACCCCCCGTAACCGCCCTATTGAAGCCTAACCACCCTATTGAAGACGATTATTCCATCGTGCATTGCCCTTTATCTCGAACTTTGTTATCGGGTGGTTACGAGCGGTGGGGTGCCTGGTTTGGTTTGATTTGGTTTGTTTTATTTTACGCAAAAATTATATTAAGATGGAGCCCATTCCTGCATTTAGGCGTTCCTGTTATAAATCTAATTGTGGTTATGTATAAATTATTGTAGGTTACATTGTGCAGTTGTCAAGTTGAGTTGTCGAAATTCGTAGTTAAAAATGCAATTAATTTGGCTTTAATGGTGCTTGGATGAGTAAAATCATATAAAAAAGTAGTTAAATATAGGTTGCTTTACGGCCCAGAAGAGAAAGTATTCCTAGCGGATAATAATCTTCGCTTTGAAAAGAATTTATATAAAAGAAATTAAATTTTTTTGTGAACGTAAATGGTGAATAATGTGAAAATAATGTGTGATGTAATATTTATAAAACCAAATTCGTAACTTTTTTACTCCAAAAATGTCCATAAGGCGATGTACTTTTTCTTCCATTGTGGCATTTGGCATAATTTCATCAAAATGAAGTTTTGCCCTTAAAATGGCTTTTACATTCGAATTTGTTGCTATTATTTTTGGCATAATTATCTTTTTATTTATACTTAACAAGTAAATTATCGTAAGTAATATCATAAGGGCATCTAATTTTTCCGAAAAAAATCAAAAAAACACGTTGCTAAGTAATATTTTAACAAGAAGCATGAGTGCTGGTGGCAACAAAAATCCGAGTCGAAGAGGAGGATTTTTGCACCTGCACGTATGCTTTTTGTTAAAAAATATTACTTAGCATTGTGTTTTTTCGATTTTTTTCACAGGAAAAATTAGATGCCCGAATGGTATTTGACAAGACTATTTCATGAGTGACAGTTAACAATTAAAATATAAATTGCAATTTTTGGTGACTTTGCTGTCAAGTTTTGCCGCGGGTAAACTCGAAAAAACTGCTGACAGGTGTCACACAGTTTTTTCACCTAGAAACTATTTGTAATTCAAAATTGCGCGTTTGTGATTGGTGGAAATTAAGACGAGGGAAATAGTCAATAATAAATATTATTGTCAATTTGACAGTGTCAAATTATTTAATTAAATTCTTTAGCAGAAGTACCATTTTTAAATACTAAAAATACAAAGTCAAACTGGCATAAGCCACCTACCTAACAAAAAAACACGAGTCCAGATAAAAAAAAATGAACTGTACATCTACGACATAATTTTATTTGACGTTGACCTGACATCTCATAACTGTCAAGAGATTTTAACCTCACTTTTTACCAATCTGACATCTGTCAGACAGGTTTTTAACTTCAGTTTTTGACATCTGTCAAGTGGTTTTAACCTTCTTCTTCTCTAAATAAATCCACTAGTGCAATAAGTACTTAATCTCTAGTGTACTAAATAGAGTAGAAAAAAATTTAGGTAGGCATCTAAATATCACATGACCAGTAAAGGCAATTATAATTAATTGGACAGAAATGTTTTTATAATTAATTAAACTTACTTTTTATAACAACACAGTTTATTTTTACAGGATTATAATCCAACTGAAGAGCCAAGTCTATACCCATTAATACCCTTTCCAAACCTTTCCTTCTGGTAATTTTTTCATAACGAGATTTATTAATCGTGTCCAAACTAATATTTAAAATGTCCAAACCTGCTTTCTGCAAAGCAACCAATTGCCTGGTGAGAACCAAACCATTTGTTGTCATTGCCACACACTCTAAACCATTTAATTGCTTTAATTGGGCTAAAATAATTAATTAGAGCTTAAAAAAACATTAAAAAGTATATGGTACTTATTATATCCGTTAAATCTTTTCTTGTAGTGGGTTCACCACCTGTTAATCTAATTTTTTTTACCCCTTCGTTAACAAATAAATCTGCTATTTGAATAATTTCATCAGTTGTAAGAATTTTTGATTTTTCTGATAGTTTGACACCTTCGGCTGGCATGCAATATTGGCCTGTAATTATATATATTATATCTGCGTTTTTAAAAGGTAGACTTATAGCTTACACCTTAAATTACACCTTTCTGTTAAAGATATTCTTAGGTAATCATGGTGCCTTCCAAAAGTATCTGTTAATGTTTGATTTTTAGCTACAATATCTGGCTGTGTTTTCTACAATGTTCAATGTTTATTTTTTTAGTATATTTTAAATATAACCTCACCTGCAAGGTTGTTGATATTCCTGCATGCAACTTTCTCGTTATAATTAACGAACTTTTAATTAATTTCATGTTTTAGCCAAGTAATAAACTGTGAGCCAAAGAAATATTAATCGTTCGTGGATTTGGTAATATTGAATTTAAGATATACTTTTTGACCTTTGAACCGAAGGGACATTCACCCACAGAAAACAATTCACCGCTGATGCAAAACGAAAGTTTGTTATTGTTTGCAACCGCTGTTTTGTGCATTCAAAAGGCAAACAAGTGGTTGGCAATCACTGGTTGCGAGACCTTGACTTTCTCCTGCAAACTGCAACACTGCTAAACAAAATTTCGGTGGCAACCCTGTAAATATTTGTGCACATGACAACCTCGCTTTTTCTATTCCAATGGGATTTCCTTGGTTGTCTATAGGATTCCTATGGGACCAAAAAACACCACTTTGTATGGGACAAGATTTTCGGAGAAATTTTCAAGATTTGTCTTCGCACCGGTAGAAATTAAAAAAAAATAGTACAAATTTAAAAAAATCTGGAGAAAATTCGCATAGTAGTAAAAGTATATAAAATGGTGGGATAAATTTTCAAAATTCACAAAATATTTTAAATTTACAAAATCTTATAAATTTTTGTGTGGATTGTGGCTATAAATTTAAAAAAAAATAAGAGAACAAATTCGCACAGTGGGTCAATATTTAAAAAAATTAAGGAAAATATTCGCTCAAAATTAAAAATAATTTGCACAGTGGTAAAAGTATATAAAATGGCGTGACAAATTTTCAAATGTTTTAAGATTTTTAAATTTCTCAAAATATTTTAAATTTTGAAAATCTTATAAATTTACAATGGTTGTATTTTCAACATTAAAAAAAAATCAAAATTTGTACGATTTTTATAATTCACAAAATCTTTTAAACTTCCAGAATTTGTAAATTTTTAACATTTTTAAAATGTTTGAAATTTCCAAGATTTGTCAAATTTGCATTGGTATATAATATATACTATATATTAAAAAATGGGAGGACGAGTTCGCACAATGGATCAAAATTTAAAAAATGTTTGAAATATTCGCAGTAGTTCAAAATTAAAAAAAAATGGTAGGACAAATTCGCACATTGGAGCAAAATTAAAAATTGTGGGGAAACTTCGCACAGTAGGAAAAGTATATAAAATGGTGGGGTAAATTTTTAAGAGTTTAAAAATTTTAAAAATCTTCAAAATTCACAAGATTTTAAATTTACAAAATCTTATACATTTACAATATTTGTAGATTTAACATTTTTAAAAATTTTGAAATTTACAAGATTTTCGTACAAATTTACAAAATTTTTATGATTTTCATAATTCACTAAATTTTTTATTTTCCCAAAATCTGTAAATTTTTAACATTTTTAAAATGTTTGAAATTTACAAGTGGTATAAATTAAAAAAATGGGAAGACAAATTCGCACAATGGATCAAAATTAAAAAAATGTTTGAAATATTCGCACATTAGTTCAAAATTTAAAAAAAAATGGTAGGACAAATTCGCACAGTGGAGCAAAATTAAAAATTGTGGGGCAACTTCGCACAGTAGGAAAAGTATATAAAATGGTGGGGTAAATTTTCAACATTTTAAAAATTTTCAAAATTCACAAAATATTTTAAATTTCCAAAATCTTATAAATTTACAATATTTGTAGATTTAACATTTTAAAAAATTTTGAAATTTACAAGATTTTCGGACAAATTTACAAAATTTTTATGATTTTCATAATTTACTTTTTAAATTCCCAAAATCTGTAAAAACCAGCGCCACTATTTTTTGCACTAATACTTTTTAATAAAAATTAAAATGAGTATTTGTTAAAGCTGTTCTCTAGATTTAATAAAGGATAAAAAACAAACAACAATTATAAAATTTATTTGTCCCATAAATAACAAAATTAACTTCTCAAAACATCAAGCTCTTCTGGTGTAACATGCAAACGTAATTGTTTTTCTATAATTAAATCTTGTATCTGGGGTAATTCTGCAGGTATATAAATGGCTGCATCAATGTATAATGCCTTAAAAACAAAAATATATAAATTTATAAAAAAAAAACTAGTGAATATTTTACCTTTAACCATGGACACTCTTCCACAGCAGAATAATATATGTTTCTGCATAATTTTGCATCGAAATATGTATTAACGAATTGTAAATAAATTCTCCATACTAGACCACATCTTCTGGAGCACATTGTTGACTGGGTTACTTTTTTAAACAGCGATGCCATTTTATTCTTAAAACTTATTGTTGTGTTGATCTGGGTAACTAATTTAACAAAAATATTTTGTTTTTAGACGTCTGTACAGAATAATTATTTACATTAAATACTTTATGTCAAATTACTTCATAATTCTTTGAATTTATTCGAATTTGAAAATTTCTAATTTTGCGATCAAGAAGTACTTCGTCACACCTTTGTAATTTTAAAATTTGACACTTAGGGCCGTATGCAGAAAAGTTGATTAACATTTAGTTTATCAGTGGATATAGGTTCTTGCACGACATGGCAACGCAGTATTTTTCTTTAAAAACTGTTGTTTTATAAAATAAATTGGGTAATTATCTTTCAACGTTTATATTTTTCCTAAAAAAGTCGATTTCTATTCATTCACATTTTAAATTAGACCTAAAACAATTAAAATTTTATCAAGATTTATTTGACATTTGTGACATTTGCTTTTAACCATAGAAAATAATTTCGCCAATATAAGACACGGTTTACTAGATTTGATTTTTGGCCAATAAAATCATCTAAAATGTAAATCGGTTGATATAATTTATATCAGTCGTTAACGACTGACATAAAAATTGACAGTAAAAATTTTTTAAAAATATAATTAGGTACTACCATATTAATTATATCAAACATCTTTGCTGTTTTTTGTCTGATAAAACCAAAATTGTGTTTAAAAAATATTTGTCTTATTTTTTAAATACTTTTGAAGAATTTTAAATTTTAGACCATGTTCAACTTATTTTCTGCTTTTAAATTTTTAAATTATGTGCTTGCTCTTAGAAATAGAAACAGAAGGTTTTGGGTAAAGGGCTCAATAAGGTAGAAAGGACTTTTTTTTAAGAGGAAATTTACACTCTATTTATTTTTGGGCCCAGAAATATACTATTAAACATACAAGAAAATGAAATTGAGGGACAAAAGGACAACATGGGTATTTAAGATTTTGCCAATATAACAAGTTTAAAAGACATTTTACAGGAAAATAAAAATACATCCTGTAGGTAAAAGCAAATATTTTTGCTAGAAAGCAAAAACAGGCACAGTGTATGAAACTAGGTTTTTATATTTTTGGTTGAAATTGTTTTTATCATTTGTAATATTTATTTGACAAATGATTAAAAATATGCTCTGAAACAATATTTTTATTTTTAAAATAAAATACCTACACAGGGTAAAAAAATCTGGACTGGAAATGTAACAATTAAATTTTAAAATTTGCTTAAATTAAAACTTGTGTACCTATATTTTTCAATATGAATTATTTAAAAAACAAAGTGTATAAGGCAAATTATATATTATTGTATATTAAATAAATAAAAAATAAATCCTTTGGATTAAAAAAGTTTATTCTGAACCCATAATTATATCAAACATTATGCCTTTTAGAAACAGGTCTAGTATTCCTATAACTATAATATAGGTACTTAATTATTTTAATTATAATATACCTAATTAATTAATCTTTTACAAGCACAAACAATTAAATACAATTTCCACCAACTTCAACAAAATTTCATTGTTCTTTTCAGAGGCTTTGAGCCGTAATTTTCGTTTTTAATATCTTCTAATACAAATTTAGGTACTTATAACAAAACACATTGCAAACTGCCAACATAACCCAATTGTGTGTTTTATATTGCCGCAATTCTCTTCAAAACCAAGCTTTTGTCATTAATAAGGTTTAGTCAGTTATAAATGTATTTATGGGTATATTTAATAATACATTTTAAAAAAGTATCACCCTTATAATGTAATAAACACATATTAAGTATATGCAAGATAACCTACAAATCTTTACTGTCATTTAAAATTTGCTATGTTGCCAAATTGGTTCAATCTTAAAACAGTGGATATGCGTAAATCAGATGAAGTTGAAGGTTTGTTAAATTTTTAAACACCACATATATACAGGGTGTTTCACATTCGTGGTCCATTAGAAGTTTCTGGGGAACGGAAAAAGATATAGATTTGAAATATTAAAAGCGTTAGGTATAATCCATTAAATTTTTCCAAAATATTTTGAACAAAATGCCACTTTCGGTTTAACCGGAAGTAACATCAACTTGGTTATTTCAAATAGAACACCCCATATATTTTTACATTTTTAAATTCTAAATAAAATGCTGAGTAAAATTATTATACCATGTCCTATACCTAAAGTGAATAGTTTTCGAGTTATTAATTTTTTTTCGTTAAAATTTGAAAAATGCGCGTCAATCAAAAATAGCCTATAAATTTTTTGTTATTAGATTTGAGAATATGGGGTGGAATTTTTACAGTTTTAAAACATTGTTTAAAAGATTCCTTGTTAATTCTTTAACACTTTTTGGTCATATTACAAATTTGTCATATTAAGAGCTACCTATCCTAACCACTAGACCCTACAAGATATACTTTATCTTTATAATATTCTGTTATAGTTAGTTATAACATTTAATTTTTTTTTAACTTTGACCTAAGATATGTTTTGAATTAATAGGTTCAGATGCACTCTGTCAGAATATTTTTACCGTTCTTTCTATACTAATTCGAGTTTCAACTCATGTCATAACCTTTTCTGAGAAAATAATTCTTAAATGTCTTACCAGTGATTGTGTCTATGGCACTGTGCTGCATATTCATGAATTGCTCCAGAGGTATTAAAAGAGCCAACAAAATAGGAAAAACCCGCTCGGTCTTCAAAAGCAGATTTTCCACTTTCCACCACTGATACCCCACAGCCTGTATTAAAAACTGCTCTTTGGCAAGAATACCCAACACAAACAAATTATTCGGATACAATGCAATGGCCTTATGCAGCA